TTATGGGGCAGATGTTGGCTCTTTAGATTTATTTGTAGATCGACATTGAATTCATGCTGGGGCTGTGTGGTCCACTGAGAGGTTTATGGATCTGTTTTTTTCTTGTTTGGCTTACTGACAAGTCTGGGTGCTTTACATCCAAACCAGCCATCAAACCCGGCTCCTTCTGTTTCTCTTGAATCATTACACACTCGGGAGATGTCAGCTTGTCTCCGAGCTGAGCCATAAGGCTAGTCCCCGGTGTGAGTGAGGAATGAACCTCGAGGAATGACTAGATAAAGCTGGTGGAAGCAGATTCCATACTAGGCTTCAAAAGGGAATTGGATAGGTAATAATAATAGTAATCCTTGCATTTCATATAGCGTCTTATCACGTCTTTGAGACGTCTCAAAGCGCTTCAAAGAATATACTGTAAAGTGAATTGACTATATATTGCGGGCGAAACAAAGCAGCCAATTGCACACAGCAGCGTCCCGCAAACAGTCGTGGATTGAGTCAGTCTAGGCTGACGCTGCAATATGTTGCTGGGGGAGAGCTTTGTCGGTGGTGCCATACTTAGAATGAAACGTCAAACCAAATGTCTGTCTGTTTGGGTGGATGTTAAAGATTCCGTGGGACTTTCTCCCCCGGTCCTGGCTGACAATCCCCCAGTAAAAAATGGGTCGTTCACGTTGTGGACGTTTGCAGGATGTTGCTGTGTGTAAACTGGCCGCTGCATTCGCACGTATACAAAATACACCTTATCCTGTGAAACGCTTGAGACGTTCTCCTGACGTGGGAGGTACTGTCCGAAATAGAGCAGCCCTTTGGGACGTCCTGCCGACGTGAAAGGCGCTATACAAATGCAATTTGTTGTTGTTGTTTCACAAGGAACGGGTAACCAGGAAGTAAGAGTGAGGCCAGGGCACAGGACTCATTAAAACATCTGCTGTTTCTGGAACTCTACATCAGTCTGGTTTGGACACTCACAAACACAGTGATGGGTTTCCGCACGTGCCAGACACAAGCTGAACAAACAGAAATAAGGAACAGCTTGATGCTGTAATGGAAACATGGGAAGATTTGGAGGATGAGATCAAATAGCCTGAAGGGGCTTCTTAGCTGAATGTTCTCTTGATCTTGTATTGAGTCGAGTTGACACTTTGAAGCTGCACTCCACTGTTATCTCAGATAAGAGATCCTGGAGATATTTCACTTGGAGATTAATGCAAACCTTCTTCCTGAATCAACAGAAACAGAGAGGGCAAATATTTGCTAATTAACTTCCAGTCACTGAGTTAAAAACAAGTGGGAATTCAAGGAGGTTAATTTCATTGTTTGGAAGTCAGAAAGAAAGGAAGAAAGGAAGAAAGGAAGAAAGGAAGGAAGAAAGAAAGAAAGAAAGAAAGAAAGAAAGAAAGAAAGAAAGAAAGAAAGAAAGAAAGAAAGAAAGAAAGAAAGAAAGAAAGAAAGAAAGAAAGAGAAGCAATGAAAGAAAGAGAAGCAATGAAAGAAAGAGAAGCAACGAAAGAAACAAAGAAACTCAGGACTTTGGGGTAAATTACTTTCATGAAGTAAAAAAGCGTCATAAAAAGAGCTTTTTTTCTTCTTAATAAATACTAATCATCCTTGCATTTGATATAGTGCCTTATCACGTCTTTGAGACATCTCAAAGCGCTTCACAGAAAATACTGTACCGGGAATTTGACTCCATTTTGTAGGCAAAATGTGGCAGGCAATTTCGCACAGCAGGAGTCCCAACGTCGTGGATGTAGTGACCAAATTATTTAAATTTTTTATATATATTTTTTGAAGGGATTATTATCCTTGGAAAAGTGATGTGACAACTGACTGACAACTGAGTTCCTACTTGCTGCTCGGAAAACAGAGGCTTGTGGAGTAAGGAAAGCTGCCGAAGGTTTCACCCTGCCAGGGAATCGAACCCAGGTCCTCTCGCTTGTGAGGTGAGTGCTCTAACCACTAAGCTACAGGACTCCAATGGGACTCCAAGCGTTCAATGAAAACCCTGAGAAACTGGCCATTGGATAGCCCCTGGTTTCCTTCTGTCTCCTCATCGGGAATATAGGAATGTACAGAATGTACAGAAAGGACCATTAGAGCCAATCTGGCCGGTCCTGTTCTTTCTGCTTCCCTGCACTCGCCTCCCACAACAGATCATACTAATGAGTACAAAAGAGTGATGAACAGATGTGCGCTATCTTTTATGGTATCTTATAGTAATGCCTATCTAATCAGGTTTCCGGCAACATAACTTTTCAGGTGAATGGATCTATATTTGCCATCTCATCCAACTAACCGTTTCGGGCAGATTGGCTCAATTGGTCGATTGGCGGATCGCTTTTCCGGGGATAATAATCCCTCAAAAAAAAATTAAATAACAACAATGATAATTTGGTCACCCAATCCATGGCTGTTTGTGAGACGCTGCTGTGTGCAATTGGCTGCCGCATTTCGCCCACAAAGTATACAGTCAATTCACTTTACAGTATAATCCTGTGAAGCGCTTTGAGACGTCTCGAAGATGTGACAAGGCGCTGCATCAAATACAAGGATTATTATTGTTAGTAATAGCATTATTAAGTGAGGACTTTGACCGAGTTGCCCCTCCTTAAACAGAATAAACCACGAACATGTTTGTACGACATGGAGAACATGCAAACAATGCAAACAATAACACATGTAAGAACACACGGAAAAATGGACGAAACATTCCTCGTGTCCTTCACCTTTAATACCTTCATGGTTTTATACACAAAGTAATGCAGAAATATTTTCAGCAGAGCAAGTAAACCAGTATAAAAACTGCTCTAAGCCACTTGCACTCTCAGTAGAACTTGGTTCTCTTTTGCCTGTCATAGAATCATAGAATCTTACAGCACCGAAGGAGGCCATTTTGAAAGTCATTATCGAATCTGCTTTCACAAGACATTTCAGGCAATGCATTCCAGACCATAACAAATCTCTGCGTGGAAAAAAAAAGTTCTCCTCTTATTCTTTCCATATATTCTGGACCTTGGTTCCCAACCTACCCGGTTAACTGGGAATCATTATTCGGAAAAGCAGCTTCCAAATCAAGCCCGAATTTAAAGACTTTTACGTGAAAGACTCGTGAAAGACTCTACATTGGAACGTCAGTCTCTAGGCCATAAGCTTAGAGTCCCAACGTGGGGCTTGAACCTACAACCTTCTGACTCGCAAGATAAATTGACAACGATGGTCTTCTGGCTTGCTACACATTCCCTGCCTCCTTTGCCCCAAGCCTCCAGCCGCTAAGCCCCTTATCCTCTGGAACTCTCTGCCTCAATCCCTCTGCCTCGCCCCCTCTCCATCTTTAAATTCCACTTGAAAACCTATGTCTTCCACCGTGCAAATGGTCATCGCCCCCTCCTACTTACCTGGCAGTATGTAGGAACCCGGTTGTTGTTAGTCAATTGGCCGATCGTGTTCCAGGGGTAATAAATCCTCCAAAAAAAATTGGGCACACAACTCACGACTCTTTGTGGGACACTGTTGTGAGCAATTGGCTGCCGCACTTCATCCAGAAAATAGACAGTCAATTCACTTTACAATATATTCTGTGAAGTGCTTTGAGACAATATGATAAGGCGCTGAATCAACTACAAGGATTATTATTAATATTAAGTGAAGGTCACTCTATAAGTGTAAGTTATTGTATAGTATATCAGTGTAAATTGTTGTTCCATCCTCAAGAACAGGCAGAGGATGAATCTCGTAATAATTTGTTACAGCGTCTTTTACATCGGGAGGATGTCTCAAAGCACTTCACAGGATTTACTATTAAGTGGAGTGACTGTGTATTTTGTAGATGAACACATGAATGTCCCCAATGTCCCCATAAACAGCCACAAAACCCAATGTTCATTCTGTTTTCACTTCTGGAACCTCTCTGTTTGAATACACTCACGTCATGACTGTTTGTGTGATGTTGCTGTATGCAAATTGGCTGCTTTGTTCCCAAACAAACTACACAGTCACTAGACTTCACAGTGAAAAATAAGCTTGTGAAGCACTTTGACACTTCCTCGAGACATGAAAGGTGCTGTATCAAATGCAAGGTTTATGATTTTTATTATAATGTTTCCAACATTCTGCATTAATTTAAATGTTAAGGCAATGACCTCAAGACTAAGAACATGAGCCACTTTATGCCTCAGGTCTCTATGGCAACTTGAACTGCTACCAACAGTTTTAAATCTTTGCCAGGAAATTTAAGGCTGAAAATCTGGTATTTACTGTCGAGATCCTGAGATAACAAAGTGGAGGCATTGGCATTTTAACTCTACATCTCGCGACGCTAAAGTGAGCTTTATAAGTGATTCAGTCAGTTGCTCTCTCGCATCTGAATCAGAAGGTTGTGGATTCATGTCCCACGTCGGGACTTTGATCTCACTCTAGACTGCCACTCCAATACAGTGCTGGGGGGGGGGGAATGGTGCTACATTCCTAGGGGTGCTGTCCTTCAAATGAGATGTCAAACTGAGGAGCCGTGTGTCTGTTTAAGTGTATGTTAAAGGTTCTGTGATGTGTAAGAAGAGAAGGGAGTTTCTCCCAGTGTCGTGGCCAACAATCCCAAATAAAATTGGCCATTGGCTGTTTGTGGGACAAACTGGGCTCCCCGTTCGTCTACAAAATGTACAGTCACTGCACTTTATAATAAAGTACAGTGCTGTGAAGTTCTTCTTGATAAAGCGGTATATCAATTGAGGAATATTGCGATTGATTATTATTAATAATAATAATAATCCTTGCATTTGATATAGTGCCTTATCACATCTGCGAGACGTCTCAAAGCGCTTCACAGAATATACTGTAAAGTGAATTGACTGTATATTTGTGAGCAAAACGCAGCAGCCAATTGCGCACAGCAGTGTAGCATAAACAGTTGTGGATTGATTGACCAAATAATTTTTTTTTAAAGGATTATTATCCCCGGAAAAGTGATCTGCCAATCGACTAACAACCGGGTTCCTACTTACTGCTAGATAAACAGAGGCGTGTGGAATAAGGAAACTATATCAAATGCAATATTATATAACCCCTTCCCCACTATCTGCCGTGGCAAGACAGAAGAGTTCCCTTCCCTCGCCCCTTCCAAGATTCTTTCTCAGTAGTGTCGGTGTTGTGTGGGGATGGCTCCCTGTTGAATGACGTGTCCTTTTGCAAATCCGACTGTGAATTCATGTCGGACTCTGGTGGCACCGAGCTGTGTGGACTGTGTCCTCTCAGCACCTGAACAAACACCCTGCGGAACTGCTTGGCGGATATGTTGTACAGCAGTGGGTTAATTGCCGAGCTGAGGTAATAGAAAGTGTTGGTGATGGGCTGCATGATCAGGTAGGATCTGTAGTACTCCTCCGTCCACTGGGTCTTGGAGTGAGTGACTGCCATCAGACGCCTGGCCTGAAATGGGACCCAACAGATGGCCAGAGCACCAACAACACACCCTGCGGAGAATCAACATGCAACAGTAAGGACAGTGTGGGCGGTTATAGTACAGTACAGCACATTGCAGCACATCTCTTGTCAAACTTGCCTCCCTTAAAGGAATTACTTAACTCCCCAATTGGTCACTGCGTAAACGCATGGCGTCGTGTGGTAAAACCACACAGATCATAGGAGCATAGACATTTACAACTCAGAATGAAGCTATTTGGTCCATCGAAGTCTGCGCTGGCTCCAGCTCAATCCCTGGTTGTCCTGTTAGCTCAGCCAGTCTGGTTAGAGAGTAGGTTCTTGGATTGGTTTCACTGTCCCTGGGCTAGAAGGCAGATTGTAGAATGGGCCAGTTTCACATCTCTGTGTTTTCTGGTGTTTCTAATAACAATATAATAATCCTTGCGTTTTATACAGCGTCTTATCGTATCTTGGAGATGTCTGAAAGCGCTTCACACAATATACTGTAAAGTGAATTGACTGTATATTTTGTGGGCGAAACCTTAGGCAAGTTTCCTTACTCCATACGCCTCTGTGTACCAAGCAGTAAGTAGGAACCCGATTGTTAGTTAATTGGTGATTTTGCTGTTCAGAAGTAATAATCCCTTCCCACCCCAAAAATAAAGAATTCTGTCACTCAATCCACGACTGTAGACTGTAGGACACTGCTGTGCGCAATTGGCTGCTTTGTTTCGTCCAAAAAATATACAGTAATTCTACTTCCGTGAAGCGCTTTGAGACGTCTAGAAGATGTGATAAAACGCTATATCAAATGCAAGGATTATTATTATTATGCTTTGGATGAGTCGTTAAGCTAAGGTCCTGTCCACCGATTCAGATGTGCGTTAAACATCCCAATCCATTGGTCATTCACTTCTTGGCTAATTGTGCGGCTTCGCTGGGTGCAAATCGACTGCTGCCTTTGCCTCCAAATACATAGTCACTTACATTTGACACAGTTTGACCCCATGGCACTGCATCACATGCAAGGAATAGCTGTTGTTATAACAGTGCAATTATAGAAGTTAATAATTCATCGATTTACATATAAAATACAACACAAAAACAGACCATTTGGCCCAACCCGTCCATGTCGGTGTTATATGCCATAAAAGTCCCCACCCAATACCCTTCTATTCCCTTCTTATACCGAGCTTCCTCTTAAATGCATTGTCCGTTCCTCAGGTCATTTTCTCCAACACTTACCCAACATCACAATGTTCTGTCTCCGGATCTCTCTATACCTGGGCAGGACCTTGGAGGTGGACTTTGTCCTTTCAAGCGAGGAGGGGACGGGCCTGTCATTGAGGGTCTTAATCATCTGCCCGCAGGTTATTCCCACCACCAGGAGAACCGCCAGGTACAGAGAGAACGAGGTGTAGATTATGGCTTGGAAGAGGACCTTCCTGCCGGATAAATTGGTGCAGATGTAGAGCGGTGGCCTCGACTCCTTGTAGGGTCTGAAGGGCCCCCAAGCATCCTCAAGTCCGATGGCAAAGGTAACTGGCAACGCTGAGATAGCGGCCGTCACCCAAATCAACCCGATCAGCCTCTTAGTCCTGGAGCCGGACATGACCTTGACGTGCAGGGGGTGGCAGATGGCCATGTACCGCTCCAGGCTCAAGGCGAGGATGTTGAGCACAGTGGCATAGCTGCAGATCTCCCAAAGCAGATAAAAACCTTTGCAGCCCAGCCGCCCGGCCGGCCAAGGGTAAGGGCACCAGATAATGCTGTACAATTCAATGGGCAAACAGATGGTCAAGATCAGGAGGTCACTGCAGGCCATGCTCACCATGTGGCACATCACAGGCCTCTGGATGCAGGTTCTGTTCCTCAAGATGCGGATGACCCAGATCACCAAGATGTTGCCGATCACACCGCTGACCAGGACCAGGGCATAGACAACAGAGGTGAACACTTTGGCCGTTGGGGTCATCACCACCGAGTCGGTCATCCCGGCCCTGGCCTGGGGCGTCGTCCACTGGAGTTCTCCTGTGGTCCAGTTCATTGTCCGAGCGCACTGAGACACTGAGACACTGCCCCACGTGAAAGGTCCTATACCAATGCAAGTTGTTGTTGTTGTTGTTGTTGTTCACTCGCTGCTTCTCTTCGCCAGGCACCGCGGAAGTCAAACTGAGAGGAAAAGGCGACGATGGTCTGAAACATGTCAATTGTCATCCACACACAAAAAAAAATGCAAATCCCACTTCGTAGCTGCAGATGTTCAGTCAGGAGCAACGAAGCAGAAACCGATGTCTTATTTTCTTTCAACAGAGATTAAACACTCCACGTCTGTTAGTCTTCACAGCTGCCCGGTCTGTGGACCTCTGATCTAGATTCCTGCGCGTGTGTGTGTGTGTGTGTGTGTGCGTTGGGGGAGTTCTCTCTCATCGGAACATACCCCAATGCTCTAGAACTAGAACGTGGAGTGTGTGGAGCCACTCAGTTGCTGTGTAGACCTCTTCTCATCGCTGGTTTTGTCTCAATTTCCTACTCAGACATACTCGTCTTCTTTGTCTCTCTCTCTCTCTCTCTCTCTCGCTTTCTCTCTCAAACGACAGCCACCCCCACCCCCCCGCCCCCCCACACAGCCCACTGTACGAGTCTCAGTTTCCGAGAGGAAAGGAAATCTCTGACGCATTTGCCTTACCAGGTGAAACCAGCTCTTACGCTGTCCAACACAGACAGTTTTCTGCTGATAACAATCACAGCAGCCTGTAAAATATTAAACTGGAAAACTGATCATAGCAAACACTGGGAAAAACCGTAGCGAGCTTACTTTTCCCTTTGGCTTTCATTGATTTCGAGTTGGGTATGCGGGGTGTGTGTTTGTATGTGTTGGGGGGGGGGGGCGTGGGGTGGGTGAATTGTTTCCACTTATATCCCTACAATCTGATTTTTTTTGCACCCAACCTTTTTGCAAAGACTAAAGAAACACCAATTGCCCTTAGAAAGAACCTAAAATGTTAATTGCAGAGACGAAATTCTGTCGAAAAGTCACTGACCTGGAACGTTAACCTCTTTTCCGCTCTCCATAGATGCTGCCTGACCTGCTGAGCGTTCCCAGCGACTTCTGTTTTTATTTAAAATGTGAATTGACCGCCACATTCCCCTCACAAAGTACAGTGGAGCCAAAGGGAGTCGGGCAAGGATTGGGGTGATGGTATTATAGTGGGGACGTGATGAATGGAGTAAGGAGACCGCCGAGGAGTGAAAGATCAGAAGATATTTGTTCACGGAGAATTATCCAACATCCCATTGACTCAGATTATCTTAAACATTTGCCAGCTGCTGAGTGGGTCTGTAAATCAACATCTGGATGAAATACAGGGTAATTGAGCACAAACATATACATCTGGAAGAAGCCACAAATACGTGGGAAGAAATCAATCATTAAACACTCTGACATTAAACGCCCCATCTTCAAATTCCGTCTAAAGAGCTCCCTTTTCGATCGTGCTTACGGTCACCTCCCACCCTCCCTCTCCCCCTCTCTCCCTCTCTCCCTAGCTCAGTGTCACTGTCAAGTGCTCCGGGATGCCACCCCACGTGAAGGGCGCGATATAAATGCAAGTTGTTATTGTTGTAGAAACAAACTCTTGAATGAAGCAGGGCCACCCATGATCAAAGCAGCTGTCTGCCAGGAAAATGCATGGCATTCAGACACTGAGGCTGTCCAACATCTCCTGTGTAACATCATGTGGGAGGCCAGGGATGTCAGAGCAATAAATACCCATTTACAGACTTAAAAAAAAAGGGCCTTGGCTTTAATTTCACAAACTTTCACATCAAATGTGTTCTGTGTTAAGAATTCCTGTAGCTTTGTGGTTAGAGCATTCGCCTCGCAAGCGAGAGGACCTGGGTTCGATTCCCGGGTCGGGCGAAACGGACAAGTTTCCTTACTCCACACTCCTCTGTTACCTAGCAGTAAGTAGGAACCTGGTTGTTAGTCGATTGGCGGATCGCTTTTCCGGGGATAATAATCCCTTCAAAATGATAATAAGAATCATAATAACTTGGTCATTATTACCAAACATTGATAACATCAACCTAGTTTGTGAGGAAACAGCTGAAAGTGAAAGGAACAGAAGGGTATGGGAGGGAGTAAGGAGAGGGTAGAGTAACATATGGAGTATAAACTAGGATATGGACTGGTTGGGCCGAAACGATCCAGTTGCCATGTTGTACCATCTAAGTAAATCCATGCAAACCCCTCAAGCAGTGAGGTGCACTTATCGTACCTGAACACAATATGGTGGTGGGACGTTCTATATACTTCTGAGGAACCACTAGCCCAGCAGCCCACAAAATATACAATTCACTTGACTGTTTATTCTGTGAAGTGCTTTGAGATGTCTCAGAGACGTGAAAAGGCGCTATATCAAATGTAAGGATTATTATACGAATTCACAACAAGAAATTGCACGTATCCGGCACGTTTCACACAGAGGTGAATGCCCCAAAGCACCTTACAAAGCCGGAGTTATGGGGGAGACAGGAAGGGGTCAAAGGGTTTCTTGATGGGTTTTGAGAGGTGGAGGGTTTTGGGAAGAGAGTTCCAGAAGAAGGGGGAAAAGGGTGACAGGGAAGTGGTGGAGGAAATAGGTTTACCAGAAAGCACAGAAATGGTGGGACAAGGCCAGGGACGTATTGAAAGGTAAGATGGATGCTCTTAATTGATCCACTAAGTGGACAGCATTGATGTAATAATAACCCTTATGTTTGATATAGCACCTTATCACATTGTTGAGATGTCCCAAAGTGCTTTACTGTAGAGTGAAACGACTAAGTATTTTGTAGTTGCGGCAACCCAATTTAAACACAGCGGTGTCCCACAAACAGCCATAAAGTGAATGACTAATTTTATCTGCGGGGATTGTTGGCCTGGACACAGGGAGAAGCAAACTTCTGACTCAGAGTTGCCTCTGAGGAAGGTAGTGGAGCCAGGTGAGGACGGGGTAATGGGCTTGCGGAGCCTGGTGCTGGAGAGGCTGCAGAATTAATAATAATCCTCAGATTTTACGCAAAACAATGATCCACAAGCAACCATAAATTTTTTTATCTGGGGGATTGTCAGCCAAGACACCGGGAGAGAGAAACTTCCTTCTCTTTTTGAATAGTGCCACAGTTTCTTTAACTTCCACCACAACGGGCAGAAGGGATCTTGGTTGAACGTCTAATCCAAAGGACGGCACCTCCAACCATGCAACGCTCCCACAGTATTGCATTGGAGCGTCAGCTGAGACGATGTGAGTTCCAAGTTCTGACGTGGGGCTTGAACACAAACCTTCTGATTCAGGGGCTGGCGTTCTGCCAATCGAGACAAGCTGACAAGTTGTGGATGGTCTAGATTTTATGGCAGGGGCAGGGTGGAGGGGGCAGGAGGGTGTCTGTGTGTCAACATACGTGTGTTTGTCTGCACATGTGCGTCTGTGTCCGCACGTGTGTGCGTGTGTCTAAATGTGTGCCCACCCACGTGTGTGCATTTGTGTGTCTTCACATTATCTGTGGTCTGAACATGTCTGTGCTATGTGCGCCTCGGTATATGCACGTGTGCCTCTCCACACACACGCGTGCCTCTGCGCGTACGAGCCAGTGCTCGCGTGTGCACAGTCGAGCCGGGGTCGGGATCTGTCGGTGGTCTTGATGCCTCTGGAAATTGAAGCTTTCAAACAGAGAAGGGTACGGGTGAAGCGCCTGCGGGAGGTGACGAGCAATTTCAAGATAAAACATTGCTCTGAGGTTCTCTTAAAACCCCGTTGATCGTCCGTCGCAGCACTAAAGCGCTTCTTGAACACGCGTCCTTGAGAGAGAGAGAGAGAGAGAGAGATGTATTATTATCCCTTCCCAGTATCATAATAATAATAATAATAATAATCATTGCATTTGACACAGCGCCTCATCACGTCTTCGAGACGTCTCAAAGCCCTTCACAGGATATACCGTAGAGTGAATTGACTGTATATTTTGTTATATATTATAAATATACATTATATATTTTGCAATGATGATGATGATGATTGTGGTAAGTGTTGTGGTATATTGTCTGCAGTGATGGCTCTGTGTGTGTGTGTGTGTGTGTGTTGGGTGGTGCAGTGCTGTGGGGTCGCCACAGGCGGCGCTGGACCTGGAACCCGCTGCTCCCCCGCGGGTCGGTCCTCCAGTATCCCGTCAGGCAGCGCGGGAGGAAGATGGCGGCCTCCGTCTGGCGGCTGCTCTGGGCGGAGACTGGTCTGAAGCGGCGGCGGCGGCAGCTGAGCGCCGGGAGTCAGGTAACCGGGGGGGGGGGGGAGGGGCGGAGAGTCAGGGGGGAGAGGGGGGAGAGTGACGGGGACAGTGGGGGGAGAGAGGGGAGAGTGAGGGGAGAGGGGGAGAGTGAGGGGGGAGAGGGGGGAGAGTGAGGGGGGGAGAGGGGGGAGAGTGAGGGGAGAGGGGGGGAGAGTGAGGGGGGGAGAGGGGGAGAGTGAGGGGGGGGGAAGAGAGGAGAGAGAAGGGGAGAGTGGGGGGAGAGGGGGGGAGGGGGGAGCGAGAGAGAGATGGGGAGAGTGAGGGGGGAGAGGGGGAGAGAGATGAAGAGAGTGAGGGGGGAGATGGGGACAGTGAGGGGGGAGAGAGAGGAGAGAGATGGGGAGAGAGAGGAGGGGGGGGAGAGAGATGGGGAGAGAGAGGGGGAGTGAGAGAGGGAGTGAGAGAGGGAGGGGAGAGAGAAGGGGGAGAGAGATGGAGAGGGGGTGGATAGAGAGAGGGGGAGGGGGGGAGAGAGAGAGAGAGAGATGGGGGAGAGAGGGGAGGGGGAGAGAGGGGAGGGGAGAGAGGAGGGGAGAGAAGGGGGAAAGGAGGAGGGGTAGAGAGAGAGACATGGAGAGAGAGAGGGGGGCGCTGAGAGGAGAGGAGGGGGAGAGAGAGATGAAGAGAGGGGGAGAGAGAGAGAGAGAGAGGGAGGGAGAGAGAGAGAAGGGGGGAAAAGAAGGAGAGGTGGAGAGAGAGAGAGAGAGGGGAAAGAAAGAGGGGCGGGGGGGGGGGAGAGAGAGAGAGAGCGAGATGGCAGCGCTGCCCAGCCTCGCTCCTCGGCAGGAGTTGGAGCGGGACAGTGTCCGACACTGGGGACAGAGAATCTTCCCACTTGGCTCCTCCTCAGCATCGCAAAGCCACTCCTGCCGACAGCGTGTGCTGGGCGGGAAATAAACACCGAGGGGGTGAGGGGTGGAGAGGGAGCGTCCGGGAGAGGTGTCGTTGGGCTATCCTAAAGTTGGGGAATTCAAGGTAAGATGAATAGTAACACGGAGGTAATGTGTCTTGTCAGGTTTTCCAGGGTGTGGAAGGGCTGCTCTGCCCTGGGAAGTTGTGCGCCTTCGCTTCAGTGGTTCCTGTAAGAACAAAGAAGAGATTTTTCGTCCCACCTCCTAAGAGAGACTTCAGTGATCCGGAGAAGAAGGCCCGGGCGGCCGGTCTGGTGGCTCCCCAGGAGTACGTAGAACGTCCCATCACCATATCGTGTTCAGGTACAATTAGTGCACCTCACAATGAGCTGCTTTGAAGAGTTTGCCTGGATTTACATCATGGAAACGGACCATTTCGGCCCAAACCAGTCCACGCCCCAGTTTATACTCCGCATGAGTCTCTACCCACTCCTTATTGCTTCCCACACCCTTCTGTTGCTTTCTCCTTCAGCTGCTCACTCACAAACTAGGTTGATTCTATCAACGCTTTGTCCAAACTTTATAATACCAATCCTTGCACTTTATATAGCGCCTTTCACATCGTATGATGTTTCAAAGGACTTCGCAGGATGCGTTGTAAAGTGTAGTGATGTGTATTTGAGTAGGGATTGCTCTGGTTTGCAATGGAGAAACACCTCTGTGTCTGTGTTGGTAATTAGATTCGGAATTTCTTTGGGGGTCTTTTATGCAGGTGGGATATTCGATCCGTACATCCCCCCTGAGGGCGATGGTCGCTTCTCATCTCTGACGAAGGAAGGTCTGAAGCAGCGAGCTCAACATATCAGGCAAAGTGCCGCCTCGCAGCTTGCGTAAGTGACTGTGGGTCAGCAGGTTCCGGGAGTTTGTTCCCGTTGATGAACTATGAACGACTGGCTAAGATCTAAGTGGCGGGTTCAGAAGGCAGAGAGAGGGTCAGGGTCGCTGTGCATAGAAATGGTGTTCAAAAGCAACAATTAGCACATTTTTCGAATAAGGCTAGATTACACCAACTCTTTACTTGGTAGACTAACTCCCTCTTCCCTTCACAAGCTGCAGACTGTCCAGAACTCTGCATCTTGTGTGCTTTCCTGGACTAGTCTGCGAGCCTAAACCCCTATTCTTACCTGGCTCCAGAAGATCGAGGTCAAGATCCTTGTTCTAACCTTCAAATCCCTCCATGGTCTTGGTCCACCACATCTCTGTGACCACCTCAAACCCTACCAACCTGGCCGCTCCCTCCATTCAGCGAGCCCTACCCTGCTTCGCGTCCCGTTCCCATTCCTCCCCTCCAACCCCCGTCCACCCCACCATCAGCAGTTGAGCTTTCAAAGTATCTGCCCCCACTCTCTGGAACTCCATCCCAGAATCCATTCAACTCGCTCCTTCCCTTGCCACCTTCAAGATCCACCTCAAGACCTTCGTCTTTGACCGAGCTTTGACCCATCTTTCTCCCCCACGCCCCCCTCGGCCCCATCCCCTCGTTCAGCTTCTCAGAATGTAACCAGTTGGTATTCAGTAACAACATCAACTTACATTCATATAGCACCCATCACATAGGGTATGGTCTTGCAGTGCCTCACAGAGACAGGACCAGAGACCAGGCAATGAGGAAGGGGAGCTGACCATAGCTATGGTCAAAGGGTAGATCAAAAGGAGGGTTTTTAACAGACAGGGGGCGAGAAGGAGGATAGAGAGAGAGAGAAGGAGTTCCAGGGTCCCAATATCTGAAAGCTCAGTCACAAATGGTGGTGCAGAGGGAGAGAGGGAAGTGCCCAAGGTCCGAGTTAGCTGATCGGGTAGTAGGGGCCAACAGAGGAGTGGGTTAGAAGCTCACAGGGACAGGGAGAGGCTTGAAGGGATTATATTTGAGACTGAGTTACATTTTTACCAGTGACAGCTACCAGTGACTGGCTCCGGCCTCCTGCCTCGTCCCCTCTGTTCCGCCATCCGTGGCTGCGGTTTCAGCCGCTATGCCCCAAAACTCTGGAACACTCTTCCGCCATCCCTCCGCCTTGCCCCTTCCTCCTTCCCTATCTTCACGTCGCACCTGAAGACCTTCTACTTCGACCCGTGCCTACGGTCACCTCCCCGAGGCTCCGCCATTGTCACACGCTCTGGCACGCAACCGTACGTGAGGGGCACGGTGTAAATGCAACTTCTTGTTGTTGTTAAAGTTATTAAATCTCAAGTTTTATTTTGACAGAATCCGGAAGGTGAAAGATTATGACAACAATTTCAAAGCAAGGGACTTTGCCTTGAAGGCTCAAGAGATCTACATCGAGGCACACAACTGCCTTGTAAAGTGAGTAGACTTTCCAACCGCCCTGGTTCCCTTCCAGGTGGTATTTTGCGGTCGATTAGGAGACAAGGCAATGGTGAGAATCTTGTTGGTTGCCAAGCGAGGACTAACCTACTTAGCATAAGGTCACAGGATTATCAGGAATAAATCAATACCTCAATTGGTTTATCCCTCCCAAGTTCCTTCCCATGTATGTTGAGATTTGAGTGCTCACTTTCAGGACACAAAATACACAGTCAAACCACTTAACAGTATATTCTGTGAAGAGCTTTGAGACATCTCAAAGACGTGATAATGCGCTCTATCAAATGCAAGGATTTATTATTATTATTATTTAATGCTTGTGTTATTTTCCTCCTGGCTGCAGTTTTAACAAAGAGAAGCTTCACAGCCTTGTGACAGAGAGATGTTACCCAGTAAGTATCGGTCCTTATTCTGCTACTCTGCTTCCTTCAACTCGTCCGATAAAATGTGATCAATACCCAGTGGAGCCCAGTTACAAGCCAGTGTTTAGGATTCATAAAACCCTAACCCTGCGCTAGAGTGGGTTTGCCTGTGCATGTGTGTAACCGGCAACACTCTCCCTGTGAGCTGCTCAGGTCCCTGGGCTAGGAGAGAAAATGGCCAACTTTGTGGTCATCGTGTTATTGCCAACATGTATCCTCTGCTTCTTTCTTGTGTACACGCAAAACAAGAAGTGACTTTGATGGTGGCCTGATGACCTGGAAGTTGGCTTTTTTCTAATCACAGGAAGATAAAACGAACCTGGTAATTTTAGAGCTAAAATCCAGTCAGCGTTTGAGAAGAGAATAGCCTGTTATACAGTATAGTCTGTTATATAATGTCGCTCTGTTATGAAATTGGTGCTGTAATGAAGCGTGTTATAATGGGACTGGACAGTACATGTTATGGGCTTTGATAATTGATGTAGCTTTATTTTGAGCGGCTAGATCTTTAGAATTCATACATTGTTAACCAGAGCCTCGATCCAGCCTGACTGGGTGTGACTGGTGTCGACATTGAGCACAGCGCTGGGGAGGGAACCCCCCCCCCGGATCATTCCACGTTAGACTCTCATGATAACTGAGTCTCAATGTGACCCTGAATCTCGGACGCCGCGGGAAGTCTTGTTTCCGAGGCTCTGCAGGTAGCAGGAGGCTGGGGGTTGCCCCTGTGATGCTGGCTCAGTGGTCTCTGTCTCCCCTTTGTCAGGACATGGTGCGAGGCAACAGGTACAAGACCATTCGCTGGACGTTCACGGAGTCCCTGGAGCCTCCGCGGGTCGTGCACGTGCGATGCCCTGACATGATCAACAAGGGGAACTTCTATGGCCAAGTCACCGTCCGCATGCACACCAAGCAGGTAACAGCTGGCCAGATGTGTTTAGCCGGTGTTCGATTCCCAGCAGGGCGAAATGTTAGGCAAGTGTTATTAGTCCACAAGCCTCTGTTTACCAGTAGTAAGTAGGAACCTGGATGTTAGTCGATTGGCGCATCCCTTTTCTGAGGGTAATAATCCCTTAAAATAATAATAATAATAATAATAATTTGGTTACTCAATCCACGACTGTTTGTGGGACCCTCGTGTGTGCAATTGGCTGCTGCGTTTCGCCCACAAAATATCGTCAATTCACTTTACAGGATATTCTGTAAGCTGCTTCTGAGGCATCTTGAAGACGTGATAAGGCGCTACATCAAATGCAAGGAATATTATTAATAATTATTATAATTTTTCTCAAACTGCTTCATGGATTCATTGTAAAGTATCGTGACTGTGCATCTTGTATGCAAACTTGCAGCCAACTTACTCACAGCCAGTGACCCATGAAATCAATGACCAAATTGTTGGGCAGGACACCCCCTTCTGACTTCCAATTGTGTCATGATATCATTAACGTCCTCCCTGACGAGTAGACGGGATCTTGGCTTAACATCTAATCCGAAGGACGGCAACTCTGACAATATTTGTGGATGGACTTTACAGCAAAAAAACACGTGAAGCTCTTTCAGACATTTTGACAATGTGATAAGGCGAATATTAAATGGAAGGATTATTGTTAGTGTTAGGCCATGGCGGGAGCCGTCTTCATGTTTTTTTCTCTTATCCTTGTTGCCCGTCCTGGATTTGGCCACACAATTCTCTCATACACCCGAATCTCAGTGTGTTAGACTCTTCCCAGAACAGCAACCTCTCTATAAGCAGCTCCCAAATCATCATAAGAACTCTTTACTTCCAGACTTTGGCAATTTATGACCGGTTTGGTCGACTGATGTACGGCATGGAAGATATTCCCAAAGACGTCCTCGAATATGTAGTGATGGAGAGACACTTAGTCAACCCCTACGGTATGTGGAGGATGCACGGAAAGATTGTGCCAGCGTGGGCCCCACCCAAAGACTCCATCATCAAGGTATTCTGTCTGAGCTCTATATATTGCAGCTAAAATAATGCAATGAACGGTCAAGAAGGGCAAGCTTACTGTTTGGATCCAACAACAAAATTACATTTGTATAAGCTCTTTTCACGTCAGGAAGACGTCCCAAGGGGCTCGACAGTCAGGGATCCGCACCCGAGCTGGTGGTTGGGATCAGGAGGGGTAGTGGGTGGGGGTAGGAGGGTGACCGAAGACACGGTCAAAGAGGAAGGTGACATAGTTTCCGGTGTACTGTTGTGTGTGTGTATGTGTACTGTTGCCGAGATGCGCTGCTGACATGACCTCTGGGGTCATGGAGTCATGTCACGGTACTTCCTGCTCATGGTGTGCGTGCAGATAGCTCGCTACACTGGCGAAACAGCTCCCGGATTCCATTTCTAATGATGTTCTTTGTGTTTGAATGCCAGACCGTCATGGTTCCCGGACCTCAGCTGAAGCCGCACGAAGAATATGAGGAGATGAACCCGGAGGTGCCCAAACCTCACAACGCCTAGTGGTGAAATGGAAGAGAGACTGTGTGTGGGGGAAGAGATATAAAAAACAACAGTCCCACTGCTGTGTCTCCACAGATTTGACTCTGTATAGATCTCTGGACCTTGTGTTTCCCCCTTCGCTTCACAATCAGACTGCCCAATGTCCTGCTCCCAAAGTATCGTATCAGGATCCATTCTGGCCGCTGTTGGTTTGTAACCATCCGTTTCCTTTTGGACCCGTTTCAGTTCAGAACGTGACGCTGAGAACCTCGAAACTCCAGGCTTGTCTCAACAGTAAATTTATGTTCGTTTTTGACTGTGCCTTTTGTTTTAGATCTCTTTTCTCTCCCGTCTTCGTNCCCCCCCACCCTCGGGTTTCTGTTCTGAGCACCACTGATGACAGACCAGCTGGCCTGGCTCCTCAGCAGGTTTGAGGAGTCGACCATTTACTGGGAGGGAATTTGGGATTTGCCACCCAGCTCTTGTTAACCCTGTAATTTCCTGACCATGTTTCTGCAGCGATCACATCGTAATCTCTCTTTACACTTTCACCTTCACCTGAAATATACCGTTCATGAGTTGGGTTCTGGGACTTAGGATGTAGTGGAGCCCCATGGGTTGGGGAGGGAGGGAGATGGGGAGTTAGGTAATAAAATGGTACCGCTATCATTTAGTGCTTCAGTGTGACCCAGTCGTAACTGCACTAAATAATAATAATAATAATCCTTGCATTTGATATAGTGCCTTATCACGTCTTCGAGACAGCTCAATGCGTTTCACAAGATATACCCCATGTGACGGGCGCTATATAAATACAAGTTGCTGTAGTACTTAATAATGATAAATATTAATATTATATGATAAATCTGGTCTCCGTTGGCAGCTCTCTCACCTCTGAGCCAAAAGATTGTGGGTTCAGATTCCCAGGTCTGGGATGTGGCCGCATAAGCAATATTGCAAGATATGCAACAATACCTTTTTACATTATGGTGGAAGCTGCTTAAGCCGGACACGTTAGGGCGGCCATTTTGTCCGGTTTAGGTGGTGTCCGAGGCTAAACGGGCAAGAATACAAATGAATCGAGGCCGAGCGTTTTGAACAATTTACCCGGCGTCCGATGTTACTGGGTGTTTGGCTAAAAGCGGCTTCTGCTGTACTTTCTGCCTTTCACGAGGCAGCATGGAGAGTGCCGGAAAGAGGGGTGCAGCCGGGAGGTTAATCAGGGGTCTAAGCTAATACTCCAATGCATTGGTGGAGACATTAAAGCAAGGCCCTATCTCCAGTTCAGGTTGGAGACTCCATGGCTCTTGTCAAAAAGGAAGGGAAGTTCTCCTGGTGCCCTTCCCAAAATAGACTTGGTCACATACCGCATGGCCGCTTATGAGACATTGCTGCACCAAATCGCTAATAAAATTACATAGTTTGCCCACAAATACACAGTCACTACTTCACAGTAAATCCCTCGAAATGCTTTGTGATATCCTGACGTGAAAGGGACTATACCAAATGCACGTATTAACACAGTCACTACACCTTACAGTAAAATCCTGCGAAACACTCTTGAGATGTCCTCCCGACGAGAAAGGCACTACATCAAGTGCAAAGGTTATTGTCCAACTGTTCAACGGGAATTCTTTTGATTTTAACAACGCAAACACAAAGTTCAGAGACCACCGGACAAAGGAAAGTACTCCGTATGTTTATTGAAATAATGGTAGTGGAGTTTTATATGAGAAACAATTATTTTACGGGTGGGTGGGGGGGGTGGTTTGCCCGACATAGAGACGAAGGGTTGACAATTTGAATGCATTTTGACCTTGCCATCAGGCAACTCATCCGGTTACTTTTGTGCAGTGCAACAGGTAATGGATGGGATTCACACGATTCATTGTTAGCCACAAAGGTTTGGAAGGAGTTCGCTTGCCGTGTTGCACAAATTACATACACATCAAAACTGCCCGCATCTGGCGAGTGTTCTTTTCACTTCTTGCTCAGGCTTCATATCAATATGAGAATATTTTGTGGGACCTCCGCACGTTAAGCTTGGGAGCTTCACTCTCATCCACAATCCCAAGGACATATGTTGTCAGCCTTTTGGGGTTCGCTTGAACCCCTATCGTCTTCCTTGCCATTTGGTTTCTCATTATCTTTACTTTTAGGTTCGCTCGTAGCGGCCTGCTCAAAATCCCAAGGGCAGACTGAACCTGACTTATGTTCAGCTTTTGTGGTCCCACTCTCTGAACTTCCTCCACTTGCTGATAGTCCTGTGTCCCAAGGACAGATCTCTGCTGTTTGACTCTTATCTTCACTCTCTTTGCTATCTCCAGTTATTGATGATATTCCTGTGTCCCAAGGACAGATCTCTCCTGTTTCACTTGTATCTCCACTCTCTCTACATTCTCCAATTGGTGGTGGTCTTGTTTCCCAAGAACGGAAATTTGCGGTTTTATTCTTTACTCCAATTTGTTTGCTTTCTTCAAGTGGTGGTGCTCCTGTGTCCCAAGGACAGATCTCTGCTGTGTTACTCTTATCTCCACTCTCTCTACTTTCTCCAATTGGTAGTGATTGTGGTCCTGTGTCCCAAGGACAGATCTCTGCTGTGTTACTCTTATCTCCACTCTCTCTACTTTCTCCAATTGGTAGTGATTGTGGTCCTGTGTCCCAAGGACAGATCTCTGCTGTGTTACTCTTATCTCCACTCTCTCTACTTTCTCCAATTGGTAGTGATTGTGGTCCTGTGTCCCAAGGACAGATCTCTGCTGTGTTACTCTTATCTCCACTCTCTTTACTTTCTCCAATTAGTAGTGATTGTGGTCCTGTATCCCAAGGACAGATCTCTGCTGTGTTACTCTTATCTCCACTCTCTCTACTTTCTCCAATTGGTAGTGATTGTGGTCCTGTGTCCCAAGGACAGATCTCTGCTGTGTTACTCTTATCTCCACTCTCTTTACTTTCTCCAATTGGTAGTGATTGTGGTCCTGTATCCCAAGGACAGATCTCTGCTGTGTTACTCTTATCTCCACTCTCTCTACTTTCTCCAATTGGTAGTGATTGTGGTCCTGTGTCCCAAGGACAGATCTCTGCTGTGTTACTCTTATCTCCACTCTCTTTACTTTCTCCAATTGGTAGTAATTGTGGTCCTGTGTCCCAAGGACAGATCTCTGCTGTGTTACTCTTATCTCCACTCTCTCTACTTTCTCCAATTGGTGGTAGTGATTGTGGTCCTGTGTCCCAAGGACAGATCTCTGCTGTGTTACTCTTATCTCCACTCTTTCTACTTTCTCCAATTGGTAGTAATTGTGGTCCTGTGTCCCAAGGACAGATCTCTGCTGTGTTACTCTTATCTCCACTCTCTCTACTTTCTCCAATTGGTGGTAGTGATTGCGGTCCTGTGTCCCAAGGACAGATCTCTGCTGTGTTACTCTTATCTCCACTCTCTCTACTTTCTCCAATTGGTAGTGATTGTGGTCCTGTGTCCCAAGGACAGATCTCTGCTGTGTTACTCCTATCTCCACTCTCTCCACTTTCTCCAATTGGTGGTAGTGATTGTGGTCCTGTGTCCCAAGGACAGATCTCTGCTGTGTTACTCTTATCTCCACTCTCTCTACTTTCTCCAATTGGTAGTGATTGTGGTCCTGTGTCCCAAGGACAGATCTCTGCTGTGTTACTCTTATCTCCACTCTCTCTACTTTCTCCAATTGGTAGTAATTGTGGTCCTGTGTCCCAAGGACAGATATCTGCTGTGTTACTCTGATCTCCACTCTCTTTGCTATCTTCAGTTGGTAGTGATGGACGTCCTGTGTCCCAAGGACAGACGTCTGCTATTTTGCCCTGATCTCCAACCTCTCTGCTCTCTCCAATTGTTGGTGATGATGTGTCCCAAGGACAGATCTCTGCTGTTTTACCTTTATCTCCACTCTCTTTGCTTTCTCCAAGTGGTGATGTTCCTGTGTCCCAAGGACAGATCTCTGCTATTTTACCCTGATCTCCAGGCTCTCTACTTTCTCCAATTGGTGCTGATGCTGAGTCCCAAGGACAGATCTCAGCTGGTTTACTCTGATCTACACTCTCTTTGCTTTCTCTAGTTGTTGGTGATGGTCCTGTGTCCCAGGGACAGATATCTACTGTTTTATTCTCATCTGTAAACTCTCTACATTCAGGTGTTTGTGGACTTGTGTCCCAAGAACAGATGTCTGCTATTTTACTCTGATCTCTATTCTCTCTATTTTCTCCAATCGGTGATGATGGTGTATCCCACGGACAGATATCAGCTGTTTTACTCTTCTCACCACCCTCTTTCCTATCTGCAGTTGGTAGTGATTGTGGTCCTGTGTCCCAAGGACAGATATCTGCTGTGTTACTTTGATCTCCATTCTCTTTGCTTTCTCCAGTTTGTGCTGAGTCCCATGGACAAATATCTGCTATTTTACTCTTATCTCCAATTTCTCTACTTTCTTCCATTGGCGGTGATGTGGTGTCCCAAGGACAGATTTCTGCTATTTTAATCTTATCTCCGCTCTCATTGCTTTCTCCATTTGGTGGTGGTACCGAGTCCCAGGGACAGATATCCATTGTTTTATTTGTGTACGTTGGCAGTGCTAATTCATCTGCCTTACTCGTCCTGTCTGCTGTGATCCATTTGAGGAGATGAGCCATTCTAGGTTTCTTGACTGGACCCGCTTTGGCTTTCAACGTCTCTTTCTCCTCTTTCAGTTTCTCACACTCGTTTACCTCCTCTTTCACGCTGCCATGTCTGGAGGCACTGAAGCCTGTTAAGGGGATTCCCAATCCTAGAGACGACTGGACTGATCCTTTGCGGTCCTTTGCCAACGACCAATTCCCAATTGAGACTGTGCTGGAGCAGATGGAAGCAGATCTCACTTTCTTTAGATGCACGTTCATTTCTATCTTTGACGTCATTTCCACATCAAACTCCCAAGGACAGATGATTGCTGCTTTAGGTGATGGTTGAGTACGGCTTGCGTTTGATATGGAGCGTGAGATGGATCCTTGCCATTTGCTATCTGGTGAGAAGCTGTCTATGCTAATGTGGTCGTCTTTTCAGAAGATATTTCTGCCTTATTGGCCCTATTTGATCTTTCTTCGTGCTCTGAATCGCAAATGCTTCCTGCTCTGGGACGTTCCATTGACTTGTCCATTTTAGGTGATCTATTGGCTCCGTGATGTGTATCTGTAGATGGTTTAAGCGTGTCGTGCTCTGGCGATAGCTCCTTTGGAGGCCAAGGTGTAATGTTGTCCACGCTGCCTCGACTCATACTTGTGTATTTCACTGCCTGTTTGCCGAATTTTTTTCTACTGGTTTCCTGCAGTTGTTTTCCGGATAAGTGCGAGCTGTCCACGCTGATGCACTTTACGGGCGCGTACCTGACGTGCTTCTGAGATCTGTTATCAGGAGACGAGGGCGGGAGGTCCTGTAACTCCCAGGGGCAAACCTCGGCCTTGTCGAAGTTGTCAAAGTTATCTTCCAAGAGCGATCTGGGTGATCCTCGCGGGACTTCGCTGGCCCGCCGCTGCCTGGTTGACGGTGACACGTTTTGTTTCTTGGACGTCTCCGGCAGCGTGCAGGACTGCAGCTCCCTGGACGCTCGCTTGCTCGCCGGATTCTTTTGAACCTTGTCCCTGACCCGCCTTGCGCTTTCGACACTGAGGTAAGACTTGCTGATGAGCAGCGCCTTTTCTTTTGAGCTCGAGCTCACGCTACGGGATTTCTGCAGAGTGGTCATCTTGGGGCACAGCGGCCTGATGTCCACAGACAGGTTGTGCGCGCTCGCGGACTTGCACACCGAACGGGAAGAGTCCACCGAATCCGTGTCCGATTTGGCAGAGACCTTCTTGGCCAGTTTCTTCCTCATCAGTGAATCCAGGAGAGAAGGATCCTTGCCCCCGGTGTCTGATTTGCTGGTCGAGCCATCGCGGTGATCTCTCACGTGGTCGTAGGTACTGTGAGATTTTCTCAAAGACAAAACCCGGTGCTTGATGGAGTCCTCCTTGACTTTCAGACTGAAGCTGGTGGGATCGTAGGTCTTTTTCTTGTAGGAGCCAGGATAGCTGCCCCTTCCGTCCCTCTCGTCCTTGCCGTGCTGCCTGCTCATGGACTCGGGAAATTCTGATATTCGCTTCATGATGGATCGCCCCAGAGTCCTCCTGGAGCTCCTCTTCTTCTGGAGGTGTGGGTTATTCGCTGTCATCTTCTTGGTTTTGTGTACCTCTAGCTGCCCGTAAAGTTTCTTCAGTTCGTCCTGCAGAAACCAAAGTGAAGCGATTTTAGATAAAACAGCTTGCATTGAAAACCAACCATAACTTTCATTTCTATAGCCCTCCTCCCGCTATAGAAGGGATTATTACCCCCGAGAAAAGCAATCCGGCGCCATTCGACTAACAACCGGGTTCCTACGTACTGCTAGGGAAACAGTGGCGTGTGTGTGGAGTAAGGAAACTTGCCGAAGGTTTCGCCCTCCCTGGGAATCGAACCCGGGGCCTCTCACGTGCGAGGCGGGAGCTCTGACCACTACGCTACATGACTCCTTGTTTGACTATTTCCATTTGTTAGTGAGTCCAGAACTGGAGAGCGTAAATCTAAGATAACCAGCAGCGGAGCTAAGAGGGGGTTTAGGCAGAACATCTTCACGTAGAAGAGAGTGAGACTGTGGATCTCAGTTGCGGCTGAAGTAAATATCATCACTACGTTTAAGAGAACACGTGACGAATATATGAGGGAGAAAGGAACAGGAATGAATTTTGCAAAGTATAAACGTTGGTGTGCACGAGTTGGTTTGTTTCTGTGCCGTTATCGCTCTACCTTTTGGCAAGCCACGATTTATCTTTTCTCTGACGTGTTCGAGCTGCGCTGGTCACATACTCACCCTGATGTCATCTGGGTCCAGGCTGTGGTCACTCCAGGCGGATGTGATGCTGCTGTTGAGATAGGAGCCTGAACGGCGCATGTCCAACTCGTCCTCGTACACCTCGGCCGCTATCTCCTCTCTCAGCGGCATTCCCACATGGAGGAACTGTGAAGAGAAGAGCAAGGCATCAGTAATGTGGCACGAATTTGAGAACACTCAAAAGAGGCCAGAAGGAAATGGATGGGATGGGGAATGTTGGAGGTTTACTCCATGTCTAGTGGTGATTTACGTAGCAGTGACATGGATTGGAAATGCGTTACTATACTATACACTATACAAGTGTGATTTGTTGGTGGTGCATTCGTAGAACTGATGAGTGTCACCTTAATGGAAATCAAACTCACCAACAAGTACAACAATAATAATAACAATCCTTGCATTTGAGGTGGCGCCTTATCACGTCTTCGAGACGCCTCGAAGGGCTTCACAGACTATACTGTAATCAAACCCTGGTTCTCTCGCTCGCGTGCTCTAACGCAAAGCTACAGGACTCCACAGTTCTAACTTGTTCTGCCTGGAGATGAAAGTCTTCAGTACCTTAGGGATGAAGAGTAAAGCCAGGGTCATCGTCACGGTCAAGTGAGTGTGCACAAAGAAGAGCAACAGCATCCAATCAGGGTGAAGACTTGTCACTGTGGTGAATCTGGAACATGAAGTAGAAATTACAGTCACGACTTTACACTGTGCACTATTTCACTGAGCGAGTGGTAAATCTATGGAAGAGGCTCCAGAGGGAGACAGACAGTGGAGCAGAAAGTGCCGATTCATTCAAATGCAAATTCGACAGATTTCTTTTAGAAAATAATATTTTGGGCTACGGTATATGCGTAATTCGAGACATGACACATAGTAAGTGTCGTATGGCTGGGAAGAACCAGGAAAATTCGGATCTAAGGTCCCAAAGCTTTTCATTCTGTTGTAGACTAAACCATAACTAATCCATTCAGAATTCATTGTTATTAACATCCCCATTATTGTACCCTGCGACTGTCGGGGTGGTTGGAAAGCAGACCAGATGGACCGTGGTCTTTTTTTGTCCAGCAATTCCTACCTTCCTTTGACTATATTTTGTGGGCAAACATGGCAGCCAATTTGCACACAGCAATGACCCATAAACATGCACCGTCTTCCCAATTCCGGTCTGACCTCTGACAACCCTGCCCTAAAACAGTCACTAATCCACGCTCAGCAACTTCCCAGAAACGCAAGCTTTATCTTAATGTTCCTCATTCAGTTCCGAGTGTGTTAACTACGCCTTAGAGGAATTCTTCACACTCGACTCCTGTTAACCCTGTGAGCGAAAGCCCTAATGGTCAGGGTGGTACTTGCTGGACAAACAATGTGGTTTTAGCTGGTTAACCTCCAGCAGTACCACAAACCACACTCTGAGGTCCTCAAGCCTTGGCTCTTGCCAACCTGCACCCAATATTCTCTGGAAATTGGGCCAGCAGGTGCACTCCTCCAGGGAGAGAGAGCACGTATGTCATTCCAGACACAGGTGTGTGAGGCATAAATATGGGGAACTCTCAGGCTGGTTTGGACACTTTTTGAGCAGAGTGATGGGTTTCCACGTGTGTCAGGACACCTGGCTGACCAAAATGAAACTCCCCGGTGGACAATGCTGGGAGAGAGACACCAGATCTTTTGTGATCGGTCACTTGTTCACTGTCTGTGAAAGCCTAGCCACTTGGATAAGGTGGAAACGATGCTCCAGTGTGAATTCGGAGGCTCTTGGCCAATTGGTAGGAAAGAAAAAGATGGTGTTTATTGAGTTAGGGATTTGTGCGGATACATTTTCTTTGCAATTGACAGACTTCCAGCTCCCATTTCCTAACCAGGATATTGTTGCACAATTAAACCCGGCTTCTGAGCATAAATCCAGAACATTTGGCTTTTTAAGAAAAACGTAAACTGCATTTTAACAGTGGAATACATCATGGACTTAACTGGGAGTACAGAACCTGTTACAGTTAAGTCCTTAGGGGGTAGTACAGATTACATCGCCTCCATTCTTTGTGTTAAGTCGCTCTAAAAGCTTTTCTCTGTTTGTAGAAATGACAAAACAAGATCAATGAAAGCCTGCGGTGGTGGGGGCGAGGGCGGGGGGAATGCAGGAAGAATCTTTCAGCCATTGGGGGAAATGGTGCCAGGTATCGGGGTGACAGTAGGGGGTGTCCCTGAGCTGGGAAACAGGAAAATGAAACCAAGGATCCAGTTCCTGATCACAGTCCAGGGGCTTGACACGTTATATAAAATTTTTTGCTGGGACCACAGCTCTCGGCAGAGAATCCCTCCCATTGCCATTCCCGTTGGATGGGAAGGGGAACGATTAGCGATGGCGTTGAGGTGATTGACAGCCTGGAGCCACTTGCGATTGGACAGGCTCCACCCTTTGGATCGGCTCAGCTGTCAATCAATCACGATATTCCCTCCCTTGTTCCCTCCCTCCCCGTTCCTCCGCCCCGCCCCCCCCCCCTCATTGATTGATAGCCCAACTCCAGCTGCTTGTGATTGGCTGGAGTCCGCTGTCAATCGGAATTTGACTCCTTCCATCTACATACGGGAGCCCCTCGTGGCTGAATGGAGGCGCGGCAGAAGGCACGAATGAGGACCATTTTGCCCGAAATCACTGGATTTTTGTCCGAATTAACAGGTAACAATACAAAAGAACGGGAGTGGGGGCCCGGCATTGTGTTTCAGTTTACCTGACGTCCAGTGCTAACCGGCATCACTGCATATCAATAATAATAATAATCCCTGCATTTGATACAGCGCCTTATCACGCCTTCGAGACGTCTCAAAGCCCCTCACAGAATATACTGTAAATTAGATTGGCTGTATATGCTTTTCGTGGGTGAACCGCGGCAGCCAATTGCGCCCAACGGCGGAACACAAACAGTCGTGCAATGAGTGACCGATTGTTTCGTTGATATTGGATTTGATGGAGTGATAGACATTAAGATGTAGTAATCCTCACATTTGCCACTGCGTTTTTCACGCCAGGAGCACTACACAGGGTACGCTATAGAGGGCAGTGATTGTATTTTGTAAACAAAATTTGCGCACAGCAACAGCCCACGAACAGCCATCAAGTGAATGATGATGATAATAATTATAATAGTAATTCTTGCATTTGATAGATAGATAGCGCCTTATCATGTCTTCAAGACGTCTCATTTCTCGCGATAAGACACTGTATCAAATGCAAGGATTATTATTATTATTTTAACGTCAGGCTGACGCACAGTTTCCCAGGACCTCGACGCGTAACCTGCCGATGTTTATTGGCTCCCATTCGCTGAACGGTCACTGATAGCGAGACGTTGGTGGCTGTAGAGACAGGACAAGTCGGGGAGAGGACAATTTTATTTTTAGGAAACAAAGTGGGGTCAGAGTGCTCTGGTGTCCAACGTTACCTGACGCTGTGGAAGGCAGCGGACATGACGATTTCATTGTGGATCGCGAGACCCATGAAGCGGGGCTCGTGGAACGCAGATGGCACGGTGCGTACGGCGTAGCAGAGATAGCTGGCCCAGCACAGGAGAAGCAACTCCGCTGTGGGTGGAAAATAAACCAGGACTGAGACAGGAACCTTGAAGCTTTGCACAACGACAACAACTTGAATATATGTAGCGCCCTGCACCCCGGGTAGCGCCTTGGAGCACTTTACTAAACCCTGACTGAGTCCAGCTCCCATCGCCTGCTGACTGACTCCCAAGCCAGAGAAAGGGACCATCAGCTCAGGAATGTAAAACCAGAGACATTTACAGCATAGAAGAAGCCCATTTCAGCCCATCGTGTCCGTACTGGCTCTTTGAAAGAACAATTCCATTTACCCGGCCTTTCCCCGCACCCTGCAGGGAGGGATTATTCCACAGTATATTCTGTGCAGCGCTTTGAGACGTCTCGAAGACGTGATAAGGCACTATATCGAATGCAAGGATTATTGTCATTTATATTATATTACATCTCCAAGCCCTCCATGGAATTTTACAGTAACGTGTCATTATTGTGCATTATTAAGAGAGCACGCCGGCCAATTTACACCTAGCAATTCCCCACAAACGGCCACGACCACCTTCGTCGGGTGGATTGTCGGCCAGGACGCTGGGAGAGAGATTCCCTTCTCTTTTTAAAAGGTGCTGCAGGATCTTTAACATCTACTTGAACAGGTACAGCCGGGATCTCGGTTTAACACCTCAACCTCTGACAACATGGTACTTTCCCCCGACCGTGCACTGGAGCATCAGCCGAGACTGGGAGCTCAAAGTCCTGACGTAGGTGGGGGCTCAAACCCCTTCTGGAGAGCAGACCAAAGAGAGAGATTCTTACCGACAGCCATCATGTAATCCCATCGGTCGAGCTGACACGTGTTAAACGACTGTCCGTCAGGAGTTTGGGACTGGACGATCAATGGGATTCTCCTCTCCATGTTCTCCCAGACGGCCACTGTCCAGGCGATCAAGAACCAGCAGACGGTCAGGATGATCACACCCAGCATCTTCAGCACTCGGCAGCACGTCATGTAGGGCACCCTCTGGGCGGTCCGGGACAGGAACACCTTCAGCACCCTGGGGAACAGGCAGACACAGAGCACAGGGCCAGAGACACAGAGAACGGAGAGGTTTACAGTCGCAGAGAAAGAACCTTGAGGGACTTCAAGGTTTCGCCCACAAATATACAGTCAATTCACTTTACGGTATATTCTCTGAAGCGCTTTGAGACGTCTCCGTTCCTCTGGCTCCGGTCTGCTCCACATCCCTCGCCCTAACCGCCCTACCATCGGTGGCCGGGCCTTCAGCCTCTCAGCCCCGAGGCTCTGGAACTCTATCCCCCAGTGCCTTCGCCGCTTCCTCCCTTTCCTCCTTCAAGGCCGGTCTCAAGATCTTTCTCTTCGACCGTGCCTTCAGCTCCCCTCTCGACTCTCAACCCCCTCCTCGCTCCTTCCCTCCTCTCCCCCTGACCATTTCCCCCCTGCTCGGGTCCCAACCCAACTGTCCGGCGCCTTGGGACGTCCTCCCGACGTGAAAGGCGCTCTATACATGAAATCTTATTGTTGTTGTTGTCTAGAAGACCTGATTTGGTGCTACACCAAATGCAAGAATTATAAGGATTGTTATTTATTACTTCAGGTATGTGGAGAGACTAGAGACGCTGGGATTGTTCTCCTTAGAGCAGAGAAGGTTAAGAGGTCCAAAATTATGAGCAGGTTTGATAGAGTAGGTAGGGAGAAGCTGTATCCTCTGGTGGGTGGGTCGGGAACCAGAGGACACAGATTCAAGATAATTGGCAAAAGAACTAAAAGGGAGACGAGGAGATTTTTTTTACACAGAGACTTGTTACGGTCTGGAATGCACTGCCTGAAAGGGTGGTGTAAGCAGATTCAATAACAACTTTCAAGAGGGAATTGGATATAGACCTGAAAAGAAGAAATTTGCAAGGATTTGGGGAAAGAGCGAGGGAGTGGGACTAACTGGTGGCTCTTTCAAAGAGCTGGTACAGGCACAATGGGCCAAATGGCCTCCTTCTGTGCTTTGGATTCTATAACCTGTGTTTCTATATCTCCTTAATGCCTCAAAACTTCCCAAGCACTTCCTGATTACTGTCAAGTGTGGCGGCTGTTTTCATTGGCAATTTTGTGCTGTTATAAGACTTGCCTGGACTGCGTTAGGATGTCGGCCTAGACCATGAGCTCAAAGTCCCAACTTGGGGTTACGAAATCCATCCGATAAGTAACACCTCCAGAAAGGTCATATTAAACACCAAATCTTAAAGCTAACTTTAGATATCAAGAGTTAAAGAGCCTCATAAGGAACATTAGCTCAAGGCAGATCGTTTACAACACCAGCAAGAGGAGGTATCAGGAACACAATACATGTTTAAATGGTCACCTAAACCTTTAAACTAAACTTAAATAAGATACCCTCAATCTTCTGACACAGAGGCAATGTACCGTCTATCCATTTGCCTCCCTATCATAGAATCATAGTATGAATCCTACAGCACAGAAGGAGGCCATTCAGCCCATTGTGCCTGTTGCCGGCCATTTGAAAGAGCTACCAACTAGTCCCACTTCCCCTCTCTTTTCCCGTAGTCTTGCAAGTATTTTCTATCCAATTCCCTTTTGAAAGTTATTACTGAACCTGTTTCCATCACCCTTTAAGGCAGTGCTTTCCAGATCGTAACAACTCACTTTAAATATGTTTATATTTTTAATATTTAAAAAAAATGACAGCTAACCATTAAACATCGATTTCTTTTTGCCCTCCCACCCCCATTCCCGCCACCCCTCCCCCCCACAGGAATGGACACACTGTCCTGCGCTGTGGGCTCACGGGTACCTGTACATCTTCAGTGTTATAGTTCCGTAAATCACAGCAAAGCCCAACATCCTGACCCAACGCAGGAGAATACATCGGAACACGCTCGGGGTGAAGTAAAGGATAAACACCTGCAATGAAACGGCAAACAGAGGAGTTCGTAACACACACACCATTAGCGCACATACACGTATAGGCATTAGGGTTTAAGGAATTATAGAATTATTCAGCACAGAAGGAGGCCATTCGGCCCATCGCGTCTGTGTCGGCTCTTTGAAAAGAGCTTCCAAATCAATCCCACTCCCCCGCTCTCTCCCCATAGCCCTGCAAACTTGTCCTCCCCAAATAATTATCTACTTCTCTCTTAAAAGTTGTTATCAAACCGGCTTCCACTGATTCGATGACAACTTTTAGTGAGGAGAGATGGGCAGCTCTCCCCGGAATCAAAACAGAAGTCGCTTGGAACACTCAGCAGGTCAGGCTGCATCTATGGAGAGAGAAATTAACTCACTTTCCTCTCTCCATAGGGGAAAGCTTCACTCACACTGGTACGATTTACCTAACCTAGTTATCTGGAGCAGAGAATCCTGAGAAAATTTGTTTGTGGTGGTAATTGGCAACAGCTCAAAGAACATTAACCGAGTAATGAGAATGCTCCCAGGTTCCCTCGTGTTTGATACTGACATTAATAATAACACTCACTCTTGCATTTGACATTGCGCCTTATCACACCTTGGAGGAATCTCAAAGTGCTCCACAGTAAAGTGAGTTAACTGCACTTTGTGGGATTATTATTTGAACGGAAAGAAAACAATATGTATGGAAAATGAAAAGGACCTGTGGTGGGGGGGGGGTCCTGAATGACAATAAATTGAAGCTCTCCCAACAATGTTCTGTGTCAGTGAGTAAAGCAAACCAGATGATGGGACGTATCAAAAGATCAATAGCAAACTGAAATAGTGGGATAGTCCTGCCGCTGTATAAATCATTGGTGAGACCATAGTTAGATACTGTGTACAGTTCTGGTCGACGCAGTACAAAAAGGAGAAATCGAGAAGATACAGAGGAGGGCAATGCAAATGATTGAGGGAATGGAAGGACTGGACTATGAGGAGAGACTAAGTAAATTGGGCATGTTCATGCTGGGAAAGAGAAGGTTGAGAGGTGATATGATTGCTGTCTTTAAGATTCTAAAGGGGCAAAGCAATATAGATCATGACAGACTGTTTCAACTTGTCCAGAATAGTAAAACCAGAGGACAAGGCCTGAGATTGAAGGGGTGTACATTCAGAACGAATGTACCCAAACACTATTTCAGTGAGCGATTAGTGAAGTTGTGGAACAGGCTCCCGAGGGAGACGGTTGAATCAGGAAATGTTGATTCTTTCAAACACGGATTAGAAAGTTTTCTTTAGGAAATAACATTATGGGATATAGCACATAGGTAGTTTGAGACATATGTGCATGCAACTGCCAGGAAGGTGGAAGGCGAACTAGATGGACCGTGGTCTTTTTTCGTCAAGCATTTCTTACGTACGCATATTTTGTGGGCGAAAGGTGGCAGCCAATTGCGCACAGCAGTGTCCCACAAACATTGAGTGACCAGTTTTTTTTTTTAATACTTTGTTTATCATTGCGTGGAAAGAGTGTTGACGTACTGTACCTCAGTGCTGATCTCTCCTCTTGTTCACCCAAAAAACTAGGAAATAAAGGAGTTGGGAGGGAGGGAAGCTTTCACTCAGCAAATCTTTTCAGCAGTTTTGACTGGAGTGAGTTTGATCGCGGTTGAGCGGTTGAGTGGAATCACAGACGCCCCCAGTTTAAAAATAATAATGATTAATTCTCCACCAGAAATGAAATGTCACAAGTCTGTAATTGTAAGTGCGTCAAACGTATCAATTTTACTTTCCAGATTTAGAGCTCGCCACCTGCCAGCCATCCACCGAGATTACAGAGCACCAGGAATATAACAGTCAGTGTGCGAATCAGTGCATTGGCTCAATCACACACACACACACACACACACACTGGACTGACTGACTGCTGTGTGAGCAATTACAAACTGAGGTCCAGATAATAATAATAATAATAATAATATTAATCATTGCATCATCAGGTCTTCGAGACGTCTCGAAGCGCTTCCCAGAATATACTGTAAAGTGAATTGACTGTATGTTTTGTGGGCGATCGGGTAAAATAATCAGACTGTAAGAGTTAAAAGTCCCAACACAGGGCTTGAACCCACAAACTTCTGACTCGGAGTCAAGAGTGCTATCGAGCCAGTCTGACACATACCAAAACAATGAGTCGATTGGTGGATTGCTTTTCCGGGGGTAATAATCCCTTAAAAAAAATAATAATAATAATGTGGTCACTCAATCCACGACTGTTTGTGAGACGCTGCTGTGCGCAGTCGGCTGCCGCTTTTCGCCCACAAAATATACTGTCAATTCACTTGACATTATATTCTGTGAAGCGCTTTGAGACGTCGCAAAGACTTGATAAAGCTCTCTATCAAATGCAAGGATTATTATATTATTATAACAATGTACAATAAATAAATCTGGACATTTTAGGTCGTCATGTTTTCCATTGCTGATGGGAGTGACTGTAAGAATCTATCAGTATTTCAATAGCAAGAACATATGCTGGAAACTAAGGTAATACTTGCCGGAAAATACAAGAGGATTGATCCGCCGAGGATTGTCTCCAGAAGAATCAGTCCAGATGCTCGAATTCTCTATTAAGAAAAACAAACGGTAAGAAAAATACTCATTTCTTGCTTCCCAAGATGTTATAATAATATAATAATAATATTATAAACAATAATAATGTTGATAGCACTCCTCACACAAGACAGCGTCTCGGAGTGCTCAATTTACTAACTTAAATGGTAATAATAGGAATAATAATAATAATAATAAGGTTTACAGGCCTTATAGTGCCTTATCACTTCATTGAAATGTCCCCATAGCGTTTCGCTGGATTTCCTGTCATATCCAGAGACTATTATAGGCAAACACACAGCTAATTAGAGCACAGCAACATCCACAAAGTCAATGACCAATTTTATCTGGAGAATTATTGGTCAGAACAATGAGAGAGAGCAAGAAACTCCCTTCAGCTTTTGAATAAAGCCACAGGATCTTTAACATCCTCCGGAAGAGGCACTCGGTTTAGGATCTCATCCAAAGCCCATCAGCTCTGGCAATGCAGCGTTCCCCAGCACTGTACTGGAGCTTCAGCCTGGACTGAAATATAATAATAATAATAATAATAAGCCTTGAATTTGATAGAGCGACTTATCACGTCTTTGAGACGTCTCAAACCGCTTCACAGAATAGATTGTAAAGTCAATTGACTGCATATTTTGTGGGCGAAACACTGCTAGGTAGACAGAGGCTTGTGGAGTAAGGAAACTTGCCCAACGCTTCACCCTACCAGGAATTGAACCCAGATCCTCTCGCTTGTGAGACGAGTGCTCCAACCACTGAGCTCTAACCAGCAATCTTTATTGTGCAATATTCAGTCACAGGGGATCATCCATAGAATGCTGGAATGGATTTGTGGGAGAGTTACAAGTTGGAATCAAATCAGTTGCTTCAAGGTTCGTAAACCACAAGTGTGAAGGAAAAAGAATATCTGTCCATCATACGAGCTTAATACAATCCAATACAAAATTTGTAAAGCGCCTTTAAGGTCAAGGATTAGAGATTAGGAGCCGGTGGCGGTTTGGGGTGGGGGGGTTTTGGGGATCAGGGAGGGTGGAGGTCATTGGGGGTAGGAGGGTGGCCAAATGCAAGGTCGAAGAGGAGGCTCTTGAGGGAGGGAGCGAGGTGAAGGGAATGTGGGATGGAGTTCCAGAGGGTGGGGGCAGAGAGGCTGAAGGGTGGGGGGGACATGGAGCAGGCCAGAGCTTGCTGAGCCAAGGGAGCGGAGAGGTTGATAAGGGGTTAGCAGATCGGAAAGGTAGGAGGGGTCAAGGCCGTTTAAATTCTAGCAAAAGAATTCCTCTCCCGGGCTGTTCCTCAATGGAAACTAAGGTTTCCGTTGTAAATGTCTTGAATTCTGCTTTCAGGCCATTCCTGTGATGCCAGGGATGATTAGTAAGGTCCCTGACCATCTGGGCAGCTTATTTCTGGCTTGCAACCGTGTTTAGGCAAGAGGATTAGTGATTATGACGTTGTTAATGTAGGTTTATTGAGAAATAATCTCCATCTGACTACTGGGAAAACTCGTGCCGGTCTTTAATGGCATTTAATGACCGAGTGAGTGTCAAATTGCAGGAAGTGTTTGATGCCTTGATCAAATTCAACTGCAGCATTTGTCATTACAGACACAATAATCGTTTGATTTAGTGCCTTATTACGTCAGGAGGACATCTCAAAGCACTTGGCAAGATTCACTTTGAAGTGCAGTGACTGCGGCAACCAATTTCGTACGCAGCAGTGACCCACAAATAGCCATGAAGTGAACGACCAATTTGTCTGGGGTATTGTTATTGGCCAGGACACCAGGAGAGGAAAACTCCTTTCTCTTAGTACCGTGGGATCTTCAATATCCACCCGCTCAGGCAGACACGACTTCAGTTTAAGGTTTAATCCAAAGAGCAGCACCTCCATAAAAATGCAGTGTTCCCCCCAGCACTGCGCTAGAGCATCAGTCTAGACTGTGAGCAAAAAGTCCCAACATAGACTTGAACCCTCAACTTTCTGACTCGAGAGGTGAGAGTAGTTACCAGCCGAGCCAGGCTAAGTCACCTCCTGCCTTGTTCTCTTTCTGGGGCTCATGATCCAGCGCAGTTGGAGGCAAAAATCAGACAATTCTCCACTTGATGCCCCAGAAGCAGAACCAATAATAACAATAATAATAATATTACTCCTTGGATGAGATATAGCGCTCATCAGAGGTTGGGCCTTTGGCCTTTCTGCACCCACCCTCTGGAACTCCAGCCCGGAGCCCCTCCACCTTGCCCCCACCCCCCCCATCCCATATCTCTTCGACCGTGCCTTCGGGGTATCTTCCCACCACCTACGCCCTCGCCGTCCAACCCCTGCCGACCTCCAGTCCGCAACTCGGGTGCAAACCCTCGACTGCTCAGCACCTTGGGGCATCCTCCCGACGTGAAAGGCGCTGGCTAAGCTCAGCTTTGCCGTCGGCAGCGCTGCGAGCGGAGTAGGGTGCGGCACTCGAGGGGTTAAGGCCGTGCGCTTGGCAGGCGGGTGGACCCAGGGGCGCGGGTGCTGTTCCAGCTGAGAAGAAAGTAAGGTCATCATTCCTGTTGGGCCCGTGCGTGGGCAAGCTCACAGCAGCAAAATGATTCATATCGCCGTTGATAGAAGTATTTTTAGTTGCGATTTAAACCCGCGGCAGAGACGGAGATGACTTCACCCCCTATCGACCGGCACCTGATGTTGTGCCCTGCCATTTGATCACCGCTCGCCCACCCTGGGGGGTAACGGCAACAGAGGATTCTGTCGATCGGTTGATTGCCTCTCAGGAGCACATCCTCTGATGACTGACAAAGCCTCTTGTTCTCGAGGCTTTGTTGGAGAGTATTGATCGTGGGCTGCGTGTGTGTGTGTGTGTGTGTGTGTGTGGGGGGGGGGGGGGCGGGGAGGGTGGGGGAAGGGGGGACATTTTATCTTTCAGACGAGAGACATTCCCTTTTGTTCTGCCGAGCACTGCTTTTTTTAAAAAAATAATAATAATCGTTGCAATTTGATACAGCGCCTTATCTCGTCGTCGAAACCCCTCTGAGCGCTGCGCGGAATATACCGCAAAGTCAATTGCCTGTATACTTTGTGGGCGAAACGCAGCAGCCAATTGCGCACAGCAGCGTCCCACAATGACCACATTTTTAATAGTTTCTGAAGGGATTATTAGCCCCCACCCCACCCCACCCCCCCACCGGAAAGCAATCCGCCAATCGACTATTAACCAGGTTCCTGCTTACTGCTAGGTAAACAGAGGCGTGTGGAGTAAGGAAACTTGCCGAAGGTTTCACCCCGCCCGGGGATCGAACCTGGGTCCTCTCGCTTATGAGGCGTTTGAAAAAAAAAAATCCTGGTGTCGATTTGTGCGTTTGCTAAGTATCTTAAACTGGTGCCTTCTAGTCGCTGACTCAGTGACCAGCGGAACTAATTTGCTCCCGTTGACTCTGTGTCAAAACCCCTCATCATTTTGAAGACCTCTCTCCGTCAGGTCTGACTGGAGGGTGAGAGACTGCTACCATCGGCACGCAATAGAGACGTGGTCAGGTGTCCGGCCAGTTGACTTGCCTTGTTCCTTCTGTAGTGATAAGCGACCAACATGCTGAGGAACACGAGAAGCATGCAGAAAGCCTGGCAGGTCAGGATGGATACCCTCAGGTACTCGTCCTCCTGGACCAGACAGGGAGCGTCGCTGGTGCACCGGCTGCAGCCCAGCCCGCACGCCCGGCACTCGAACAGCTCCCGCGCCTCCTCCACGGCTTGGCGCCTCGGATAGGAAGCTCGCTCCTCGGCCTGACCTAAAACGGCGTCCAACAGGTTAGCAGCTCATCACCACAGCACCTCCGAGCGACACAGTCCCGCAGGAACTACTCACGTCAGTGTGTCCGTCGGGACCGTAACATTTAACATGATCTACGCAAAGTCTGAATTGCAAGTAAATGGTTAATCTGCACTGCGAGGGCGTGGTTCAGTGCAGCCGATAAGCGCTCGGGGTATATAATAATATAGCAACAATTGCGTTTGATGTGGCGCCTTCTCACGTCTTCGAGACATCGCCAAGAACTTCACAGAATAGACTGTAAAGGCTGTATTTTGCAGTCAGTGTTCTCAAAGCGCTTCGCAGAATACACTGTGGGACATTTTATGGGTGAAATGCGGCAGCCAATTAATTGCGCACAGCAGTGTCCCGCAAACATCCGTGGATTAAGTGACCGAATTATTATTTTTATTATTATTTTTGAAGTGATTATTGCCCCCGGAAAAGCGATCCGCCAATTGACTAACAATCGGGTTCCTACTTACTGGTAGGTCAACAGAGGCGTGTGGAGTAAGGAAACTTGCCCAAAGTTTTGTCCGGCCAGGAATCGAACCCAGGTCCTCTCGCTTGTGCGGCGAGCGCTCTAACCAGTGAGCTACCGGATTCCGCTGCAGAGATACTTACTGCTGAAGCCATTGGTTGAGATGACATTGGGGTTGTAGAATCCTTTCTGACAGACACATTGATATGCTCCGAGTTGAAAGCCTTGACCTTGGAGAGGCACACACTGGGATTGAAAGGAGACATCAAACAGTTAGCTTACTGGGGTACCATTGGAGAGATACACACTATAATTGAGCCAGACCGGCTCAGCTGGTCAGACTCTCGCCTCTGAGGCAGAAAGTTGTAGGTTGAAGCCCCACGTTGGGACTTTGAGCTCATAGTCCAGGCCGATTCTCCAATACAGTGCTGGGGAGCGCTGAATGTTAAGCGTTTAAACCAAGGTCCTGGTTGCCTGTCGCGATGCATGTTAAACTTCCCATTCAAAAGGCAACCATTCAACAAGGAAGTGCTTTGAGACAACCCGATGGTGCGACAGGGCGCTATATCAAATGATCAAGGATTATTATTATATTATTACAATGAGGTGCTGAATCGTGAGAGTTCATCAGTAGTAAAGAGATCCCTCAGAGGGTCTCAATCAGAGATATGATTGAATGTCAAAACACGATGAGGGTTAGTATTGGAGTGGAATCACTTAAAAACCTTTGTTTTTCACCACAGGAAAATTCACAGTGAACATGAATTTCAATGGAAAGGATTATTGTACATTGTTACAGGAGCTTAGACTCTGCTTTATTCATTAAAAGGGTGAAATTGAACAATAAATTGTGCTTTCAGCCTTCGATTCCTACACTGACTCTAAAAACAACACATACATGAGGGGGAAGGGAGTAGTGGGGGTGGGGGCTTGAGCAGAGTATTAACGTTGGAATGGACTAGTTGGGTTGAATGCGCTGGTTTATGCGCTGTATGTAATACAACATGTTTCACTGGTAGATTTCAGTCTGGATTTAGGGGCTAATAATGTATCTAATAACAACATTCTTGCATTCGATATGTATATATATATATATTTAAACAAACTGAAACGCATTGAGTGCTCTAACCACTGAGCTACAGGACTCTACACCAGTTGAGAGCAGTACGTTCGCCCACAAATATACAGTCAATTCACTTTACAGTGTGTTCTGTGAAGCGCTTTGGGACGTCCTCCTGACGTGAAAAGCGCTATATCAAATGCAAGGATTATTATTATTATTATTATTATTATTATTATTATTATTATTATTATTATTATTATTATTATGCACGAGGCTGGCTGGTGTTTTGTCTGTGAGACCAGAGTTCGATGCAACTGCAAGGCTCGGAGCCCTTGTAGGTCAACGTTCCTCTCTCTGATCCGCAGATGGTGTGACAGGTCAAGCCGTGTACTTTGGGAGAGAAAAGACTATCGAGTGATAATCAGCTGTGGTTCTGATGACATGTTTTTTGCAGATTAATCTCTGGGTGCCGATCAAAGCTTTTGCGGAAAAAAGACAATTATTTCGAGGAATATTAATAATCCTTGGAATCCTTTGAAATAGCGCCTTTCAGGAGGACATCCCAAAGCGCTTCACAGGATTTACTGTAAAATATGGATACTGTTATAAATTGAACTTCACAAATTGAAAAATAACCTCGCGGTTTCCTTGTGTGTTTAGCGACCTGTGAACAGAGTATCAGACCCCCTCAGCCTCCTCTTTTATCGGAACCGCCTTCATTATTTTTGTTTCACAAACATTTTAGTTTTTACATAAATCGGTGGGGCTGAAAAGGACTATTCATTTTGCAGAGCTGAACTTCAAAAGCACTCAAACGGATTACGGAAATCCGAGGATCAAAATAAAAAACTGTAGGTATTAGAAAAGCAAAGGCTCAACACACAAAATCCCGAAAAAGCGCAAATGGGCGTTAATGCCAACAAAAGCCCCAAACAACTCCCCGCTCTGTTAAATCCTCAGTCTTTCCACGTGTGGATCAGACGTATAAGTAATAGCCTCCGAGCCAGCGTTCCATTTATAGATCAATTTGTGAAGAGGGTTCATTCCCTGGAGCACAGCGCGGAGCTCACAGATACTGTGTGTAACCCCATTTGCAATCAGCGGAGGATGGGGGCAAAGGCGTGGAGGCAATTGAAAGTCAGACCCAGGGTCCTAGGTGAAAGATATCATTTAAATACAATGCAAATTTACATTGAGACAGCACCTTTCACATCAGGGGCACAATAACAACAACAACGACGACGACAAATTGCATTTATATGGCGTCTTTCACGTCAGGAGGACGTCCCAAGTGGGGGGTGAGGACACGAGCCGCCGAGTTCTGAATAATAAACATAATAAACAATAACAATTATAAATAATAATGAACGTAGTTGGAAGGAAGCGGTGTGATAAGTTAGGACTACAATGTAAGGTAATTGACAAAAGAACCAGAGGGAAGTCCAGGAGGAATTGTTTAACCCTGAGAGTTGTTTCAGTCTGGAACAAACTGCCTGAGAGGGTGATGGAAGCAGATTCGATAGTAGTCCTCAAAAGGGAATTAAGATAGGTACTTAAAAAAGGAAAACATTTTCAAGGCTATGGGGCAAAAGCGGAGGGAGTTGGACTAGTTGGTAGCTCTTTCAAAGAGGCACGATGGGCCGAATGGCCTCCTCCTGGGCTGTACGAGTCTATGATTCATTCTTATTTAAAAAGAGAATCGTATTTCAGAACCCTTAAGTTATTGTGACATCTGTAAAAGACTGAGGATTACAAGGTTATGGCTCCCAGTTTAGCTGCTTCTATTTGTAGCTCACACTGACTCATCTGCTGAAGTAGAACACACAGACTTCAGGGCTCCACGTACATTTCTGGACCCTCTCAGCACCCTGCGTGGAAAGGAAATAATGAGGGTTTTGCAGTGAATCATCGCGCACAGATGAAAGGCTCTTTTCATTTGAATTATACTAAAGAGAGATCGAGAACGCATAAAGACACCACTCTGTTTGATGGAGAAATGTAAAAAATAATGGCCAGGTTTTTCTTTTTAACTTGTTAAATTCTTCAATTTTACAGCAAAGGAGGAGGGCACTTGGCCGGTTGTTGTTTTTCATTGGTCTTCTGAAAGAGGTTTCATTTAACCCATTTCCTGCCCTTTGCCTGTGTTTAACACGGTTACAACGGGTTTAACTGGGTTCAGTCCCTGAGACCCTGAGTTATAACAATAATAATAATCTTGCTTTTGATATAGAGCCTTTTCACGTCTTCGAGACATTGACTCACTTTCCTTTCTCCATAGATGCCGCCGAGTGTTCCCAGCGACTTCTGTTTTTATTGCAAGGATTATTATTATTATTATTATTATTATTATAAGCTCTTCAGTCTTCAGAGAAGACGGCTCAGAGGGCTGTAACGTTTAAGATGCACCGAGACAGTGGAACAAGAAGCCATAGGTTTAGAATTGTAAAGGGCAATTTCAGGAGAGACATCAGGAAGTTTCTCTTTACTGAAAGGGTGATTAATGACTGGAACATGTCCTGCTGGTTGAGGCCAGGACCCTGGGACTCACTGAAAAAAAACTCATTGATGCTGTGATGGCAGGACATTAGGGTGGATGCTCTGGGGGTGTGAGATCGGATGGGCTAAAGGGCCTTCTTCATCCAAACCAATCTTGTGGAACAGAGAAGGACGAGACAAGATGGGTGAGCAAAGGGGAGTGTGTGATGTGGAGTTTTATAAAAAGGGAGTATGGAACATAAAAGCCTCCGTTATATAAAGCGAGAGTGTGACCTCAACCTCAGTACTGTGTTCAGTCTGCCTTTGGAGAGCCTCCAGCGACAATTCATTAGATTAATAACTGGGATGAAAGGGTTTATCTGTGGTGAGAGGTGGCAGAGATTTAGGTTAGAATTCCTCACAGTTGAGGAGGTTAAAAGGTGATCCGGGTTCGTACGTACTGTTAAGTATGTTTGTGGGGACGCTGCTGTGCGCAATTGGCTGCTGCGTTTCGCCCACAAAATATAGTCAATACACTTTATAGTATATCCTGTGAAGCGCTTTGAGACGTGAAAGGCGCTCTATAAATGTAATTGTGTTGTTGTTGTTGTCTCGAAGACGTGTTAAGGCGCTATATCAAATGCAAGGATTATTATGGTTAGGTAAACATACGCATGTGGAGTAAAGTAAACTTGCCCAACGTTTCACCCGGTCCGGGACTCGAACCCAGGTCCTCTCGCTTGTGAGGCGAGTGCTCTAACCACTGAGCTACAGGATTCCACTTACCCAGAAATTGGCTACTTATTGAATTCATTCCAAATTCAAGCGATTTGCCAATTTCTGGAGACTCTGACGTGTTACTCCGATAGAGTAATAATAACCCGCAAACAGCCATAAATCCCATTTTATCGAGGGATTGAGAAACTCTTTTCGAGTAGTGCCACAGGATCTTTAATGCCCATTGGAGCAGGCGGACAGGGCCTTGCCTCGGTTGAACGTCTCAACCGAAGCAATGTAGGCTAAACTGTGAACCCAACATATCCAACTAAATCTAGACCCAGATGGAATTTCCGCCACCCGAGGCTCTTGGCGCTTAAACTACGCCGGGAGATGATCTGAAAGCAGAGCGAGATTTCATGTCAATGTCTCACTGTGTTAACCATATAGAGCCCCCACTCTCCCCCCCCCCCCCCCCCCCCGCCCCAACTTGTCTGGATCCATCACGTCAATGTTGGCCAACCCCCGCGAATACACAAGCCACGATATTACAGTATCAAATCGACCAGGGAACTGCCAATCCGTCTTAATTCAATTCCTTCGCTCTCCTGGAGGCCAGAATGTCATGTTTTTCATGTCATTATTAATGAATTCTTCATGATCCGTGACAACTTTCCCACTTGTCACTGACACCCCCCCCCCCCCCCACCACCACCCCCCCACACACACCCTCCCCACCACTGCCTGGATGATAAACTCTGAGATTATTTTAGCCACAAACTTCCCTAAGTCACACCACCAGGCCACAAGAGTGTCTCTAACTCAATTCAGAATAAATAACCTTTGCATTTAATACGTTACAAAGGGCTGCACAGGTTGTCGTGGTCAAGTGTAGTGGCTGTTTTTGAGGGCAGAGAGGGTAGGAGGGCGGCCGAAAGCATGGTCGAGGAGGAGGGTCTTGAGGCGGGCCTTGCAGGAGGCAAAGGGAGGGAGTGAGGAGAGGCCGGAGCCTACTGAGCGGAGGGAGCAGACAGATTGATAAGGGGTTAGCAACTCGGAGAGGTAGGAGGGACATGCTTACCTCTAAAGGGACTTCATGGACTTCCTTACCTCTAAAATAAAAAGCATCCACCTGGCAGCCTTATCCTCCTGCCCCGTGACCCCTACCAACTCACCCCCACCTACCCCACCCCATTCCATCTCCTACACCCACCCCCTCCCCCCCCCTTTAGCTCCTACCACGGCCCCCATCGTACATTCCTTTGCCCCCATCTCCTCTTCCTCCCGCTCATCCTCCATCACCCTGATGAAATATTTTTTCTTCTCCCCTCCGCCCGGTCACCTGGGGGTACCCCAAAGCTGCATCCTTGGCCCCCTCCTATTCCTCATCTACATTCTCCCTCTCGGTGATGTCATCTGCAGACATGGGGTTAACTTCCACATGTGTGCGGATGACGCTCAACTCGTCTTCTTCTCTTCCAGCTGCGACCCCCAGTCCCCTGATGATCTGTCGGCTTGTTTGACAGACATCAAGGCCGGGATGAGCGCAAACTTCATGCAGTTAAACGTCAACAGGACGGAAGCCATACTCTTTGACTCCCGTCGACGTCTTCTCTCCTGCGGTTCAGACCTCCTCAACCTACCCGACCTGTCCTTAAGACTCTCTGAACCCATGTGCAACCTTGGCGTCAGGTTCGATCCTCAGCTATCCTTCTTTCCCCCCGTCCCTGGCCAGGACCCCTTTCCTCCACCTCCGCCACATTGCCCGTCTCCGACAATACCTCACTCCACAAGCTGACAAAACCCTCGTCCTCACCTTCGTCACCTCTCGGCTGGACTATTCTAACGCCCTCCTCGCCGGTCTCCCCTCCTCCACTACTCACAAAATTCAACTGATCCAAAACTCCGCCGCCCGCATTCTCACCCGCACTAAACTCTGGACCCTGATCACCCCAGCCCTCGCCTGTGACTCCCTATCTCTCTAACCTCCTCTCTCCTCACAGCAGTACCCGCTGCCTCTGCTCTGCTGGCTCCGGCCTCCTCCTTGTCCCTCGAATTCTCCCCTTCACCATCGGCGGCCGTGCCTTCAGCCACCGCGCTCCGAAATTACGGATCTCCCTCCCTCGACCCCTTTGCCTCGCCCTCTCTTTCAGGTTATGCCCGAAGACCTTCCTCTTCGATCGTAGCTAAGGCCACCTTCTCCCTCGCCCTGGCCCGGCCTCGGGCTCCGCCATCGCTAAGCTCTCTGGGCGCTACATAAACGTAAGTTGTTGTTGTTGTTGAGGCGGGAAGGCTGCGGAGGGCCAAAAACAACAACACTTTAAGAAAAAACTGTCTTTGAACAGAGGTTGGGGACCTCAGTGGGGTTCATGCGGTCAATTCAATTCACGGTCTATTCTGTGAAGCGCTTTAAGACGTCTCAGCGGCTCAGTACGGCATTCTATGGAATTATTATTCCATGGGATTATTATTATAATTATTGTCTGTGAGGGTTGAGCTCATTCGGTGCTTCTGGAGCCTCGAGGGCCTCGGCTGTCAGTCAGACTCCAGCTGGTATCCCCGGTAAACGCGAGGACAACAGCCACAGGTGCGGGTCAAAGGCTCGGTGCCCGGGAGGCCAAGACCACTCCAGCACAGGAGGAGGCCATTCAGCCCATCGTGTTTGCTAACACTCTCCATTCAACTCCCCCCCCCCCCCCCACCCCCCGCCCAGGAGTAAACAGAGAGCTTTTCAGAGAGCCGGCAAAGCCCTAATAATAATAAAAATAATAATAATTATTATTTGTAGTAGTATAATAATAATAAACTTTGAATTTGATATTGCGCCTTATCGCGTCTTCCAGACGTGTCAAAGCGCTTCACGGGATATACTGCAAAGTGTAGGGACTGTGCATTTTTTTGTGGGCGGCAAAGCTCAGCAGCCAACTGCGCGCAGCAGCGCTCCCGCAGCGTTCCGGGACCAGATCTCTGATTAACGTCCGCCTACAAAATGCTCGGTTACTACACTTCCCGTTAAAATTCTGTGAAGTGCTTTGAGACGCTTCGTGGACGTGATGAAGCGCTGCACCAAGTGCGAGGGCTCCAGTTGGATATTGGTCTAATTCCCTCTTAAAAGATCCTCTTCTCAAAAAGCGGAATCAATTGGCCTCTGAACTCACCGTTTGTGGGAATTTCGTCGCCTTATGGATCTACGTCTACAGTAGCGTTCACCTCATTTCTGATTAATCTCGAACCCTAACAGGTTCACGCGAAGGGTGCTACGCGGATGTACGTTCTCAGTGTTTATTCATTCATGCTCCCCGCGCTGGGAGCAACGTTTAGGTTAATAACAACAGGAAATGAGAAATTAGCTGGAAATTAGAGACTGTGTAAATTGTTCAGTTCAACAAGGTCACGAGAGAGAGAGAGAGAGAGAGAGAGAGAGAGACCTTTCGGCCAATTTGATCTCATCTGTGCCAAAACTCACCCTAATCGTCCTCCCACAACAGTTATCAGGCTGTGTATCAGCCCGGCTCAGTTGGTAGCACTCTCGCCTCTGAGTTAGTAGCCTCTGGAACCCTACCCTGCGTGAGGGGCACTATATAAATGCACGTTGTTGTTGTTTTTGTTGTTGTTGTTGTTGTAGCCTTTTTGCGCACAAAACAAACAGTCAATTCACGTCACAGTAAATTCTGTGAAGGGCTTTGAGGCGTCCAGAAGACATGCTAAGGCGCTATAACAAAAATAGGATTATTATTGTCATTATTATTATTATTATGGTGGGTACAAACGTCACGTTGGGACTTTGAGCTCATAGTCTACCCTGACGCTCCAGGGTAGCGCTGAGTGTGTGCTTCTCTTGTCCGAGACGCCGCGCTTCTATTGAGACACAAAGCCAGGGTTTGGTTTGTCTGTTCAGTTGAACGTTAAAACATCCTGTGGCGCTACTCGAAAAGACAAGGCCGATTCTCTCTCCCGGTGTCCTGGCCAACAATCCCCCAGAGAGAGAAATAAATCAGTCATTCACTTCACGGCTGTTTGCGGGACATTGCTGTGCACAGATTGGTTGCTGCATTCGTCTACAAGTGCACAGTCACTACACTTGACAGGAAATCTCTACCTGCCGCCCCACCCCACCTGCCTGCCTTACCTCCGTGCTGTTTAAGTCGCACTGGTGGGAGTCTGCAAACCAGCTATCTCCAGGGGAGCACTGGTTAATGTCCACGCTCTGTAGGTTGATGTCAATGCGAATCACCCCCCTGGAAGGCAAAGAGAGCAGAGATTTAGAGGGTGACACTTGCCTGACAGCTACGTTTCAAGAGCATCTACGTCAGGAGTGTCCAACCTTTTGGTTGCTGAGCGTTTGCGTAAGCAATATTTTGGTGTTTTTATAATAATAACATTAATAATCCTTTGCATTTGGTGCAGCGCCTTATCACGTCTTCGAGACGTCTCAAAGCGCTTTGCAGAACTCACCGCAAAGTGAATCGACTGTGTTTTGAGGGCGATATGTGTTTTTCTTCCAGGAACGTAACATTTACTACAACGACAACAACTTGCATTTATGTAGTGCCCTTCATGCGGGTTAGAGTCCCGGAGCACGCGTTTACGAGTTATGGAGGGAGCGGATGGGCCGGATGAAATGGAGTGGGTGGTGGGGGGGAGTGCAGATGAAATCGGCCATGGGCCGGATTCGGCCCGCGGGCCGCCAGTTGGACCACTCTGATCTACAGTACTTTAGTTAAAGAGGGAGTCTGACTATTGGGGATTCCTCCTTTGCGTTGGCTGTTGCCCCTTCATTACCCGAGACCCCGGCAGGTTCTACGCTCTCTCCCGTCTCCGGGTCTGACGGTGGGATTTTGTTGTTGTACTTGACGATCACTCTTGTGGTTATGAATCGCAGCGAGCGCAAACAATCATCAGCGTAAGATTTGATACAGCGAAACTTATCACGTCTTCGAGACGTCTCAAAGCGCTTCACGGAATATACTGTAAAGTGAATTGGTTGTATATTTTGTGGGCAAAACGCAGCAGCCAATTGTGCACAGCGGCGACTCACACACAGCCGTGGATTGAGTGACCCCATTTTTTTTTATTTTATTGTATCTTTGAAGGTATTATTGCCCAGGAAAAGCGATCCGCCAATCGACTAACGACCTGCTTCCTACTTACTGCTTGGTAACCGGAGACGTGTGGAGTAAGGAAACTTGTCTGAGGTTTCTCCCTCCCTGAGCAAATGAGCCTCACACTGAAACAAGCGCTCTGTTTAAGTGACTGTGACTGGGGAGATTGTTGATAGCACAGCATCCACATGAGGTCTGGGGTGTAACCTGCTCTAACCACGTCCAAATACCATCTCAGCTTTCATCAATGGTCCTCACTGAGCTCGCTGCTCTCAACCAGAGTGCCAGCGGGCAACCAGAATACCTAAAGGTTGTTAACGGTGGGAATGAACCAGGATTCTGTGTGCGGCGTGTGTGATTGTGTGTGTGAGAGCATGTAAGTGCGTGTGTTTGAGAGTATTTGCGGGTGTATGTCTGTGTGTGTGTGTGTGTGTGAGAGAGAGAGAGAGAATCCGTGTGTGTGTATGTGTGTGTGAGAGAGTATGTGCGTGTGTGTGTACGTGTGTGTGTGAGAGAGTATGTGGGTTCGTGTGTGTGTGTGTGCGTCGGAGAGTATGCGAGTGTGTGTTTTTATGTGTGTGTGAGTGCGAGAGAGTATGTGTGTGTGTGTGTGTGTGTGTGTTAATTAAATTGCATTGGGAGCAGAGCGGAGTGATTTAACACGATTCTTTAATAAAGAACTTGTTAGGAAACGCCACACGTTACAGCCCGAGAACTGCTGTCGAAGTCTGGACTGGAGCCTAAGGGAGAAGATTTAAATTAGTGATGCCTGCCTTCCTGTCCACATTAATAGTTAATTTCCAATGATTTAAAATGCAGACTGGCTTAAGGGGGGGAAACTGACAAAACGATTTGGGAAATGGAGAGCCTTTGAGCCCCAGTGAGGGACACAGTACAATCGAAGCACTGCATATAAATTAGATTTTAATTTGCCTCAAAGCAGAAAAGTGTCCTGTTCCCTGCTAACAGTCAGATTGTTTTTATAATAATAATAACAATAATAATAATAATAATCCTTGCATGGGATGCAGGCCTTATCACATCGTCGAGACGTCCAAAGCGTTTCACAGAATCTACTGCAAAGTGAATTGACTGTGTATTTTGCGACAGCAGTAGCGTCGCACAAACAGTCCTGGATTGAACGACTGCATTTTTTTTCAATTTGGAAGGAATTATTACCCTTTGGAAAACCGATCCGCCCGACCGATCGACCAACAACCGGGGTTCCTACTTACTGCTACTTACTGGGTAAACAGAAACGTGTGGAGTAAGAAAACCTGGCCAGTGTTTCCCCCGTGCCTGGGAACCGAACCCAGGCGAGCTCTCTAACCACTGAGCTACAGGATTAACGGAGAATGAGACGCAGCTCGATGGATAACAGATATTACAGATAACAGTGGATTGATTGTTGGCTAGGACACCGGAAGAAACTCCCTTTTCTTTTCGAGTAGCGCCACAGGATCTTCTGAGCAGGGCAGACAGGACCTTGGTTTAACCTCTCAACTGAAGAACGGCACCGCTGACCACGCAGTTTCCCCCCCAACACCGAAGTGTAACCTCTTAAACTCTGAACAATTGGCGGTATTAAGTGTCGTTAATACCTTCGTGTGCTGTGCCCTAGATATTGCAATTGGAATTCCCCTTGCGCCATTAATACAAATTGAAGGCCAACTTGTTTAAAAGAACAACAACTTGCATTTCTATTGAAACTTTCATATTGTAAGATAAAGTGTTCCCTACATTTTAAATGGTTTACAGGTGCCGAGATTTATTGCTATTGACAAGACACCACTTCACTTCACCTCCTGTTTAGGCAGCGAGTCAGAAAGATGCCGCCACACTCGGGATTATAAAATGGAATTTAAATGGTCTATTAATTAGGAGAGTGTCGCGTGCGTTTGTTTGCCAACGTTCCAGCGTTTGCAAAATGTAAATGTAAGATGCGATTTATATAATTGATGCAAATCTAATAGTGTGCTAATTACAGGGAAATCAAATTAACATTTCTGACACGGAATTCAAACCCTTCCGATTTAGAGACGTCAAACATTAATTCTTTCGATTCATTAATTTTTCCACTGACTTTATTTATTTCCTTTGTTGTTCCCCTGACAGATTGTCGCTCTCTAATTCCCTCATTAATTCCTCTTTCCCTTTCTTCGTATCTCGGGTGAGACAAGAGGCTTGGGGTGGGGGAAGGGTACAACACAGGAGACTAGGGTCTTAATAATAATAATAATAATCATCCTTACATTTGATATAACACCTTTTCACGTTGTCGAGACGTCTCAAAGCGCTCGACAAGATACTGTAAAGTGCAGTGACTTTATATTTTGTGGGAGAAACGTGGCAGTCAATTGCACCCACAAACAGCCGTGGAGTGAGTGAGCAATTTATTTGGGTGGATTATTGGCCAGGACACCGGGAGAAACTCCCTTCTCTTTGAGAATAGTGCCATAGGATCTGGAACATCCACCTGAACAGGCGAAAGAGACCTTGGTTTAATGTCTCATCCGAAGGACGGCATCTCTAACAATAAAAACACCCCCACCAGCACTGCATCGGGGTGTCATCTTAGACTATGCGATTCCAAGCCCCGACATGGGGTTTGAAACTACAACCATTTAGACAGGAAGCAAACTGAAAACTTACAATCATTTGGAGGAATTACAAGCGTTAGAATAACCCACAACCTCCGAGTCAGGGTGAGAGGGTTACCATCTGACGCAGAGAGGTATCTGCTGAGCAAACTGATGGGTACGTTGATGGGTTTCTCTCTCTCTCTGCGAGGCCGACTGAAACAAATTCTAATAACAGACACATGCGAGGATGTTCAACAGAACCAATTCTAATCTGACCTTAGAGGCTCGGTATTGAAACTCTGTACGTAAAGCAATCAGTCAGGACAGGACACCGGGAAACAAATAAATTCCCTTCTCTTTTCCGTCAACGTTTGCATTCATCCAAGAACGCACTTTGGAGTAAATCCAGTGAAGCACCTTGAAACATCATCCCAACATGGAAGGTGCTACACCGGGATATGCAGGGATTACTATCATTCCTTGGAGTCCTGTATCTCAGTGGTGAGAGCGCTCGCCTTGCAAACAAGAGGACCTGGGTTTGATTCCCGGGCCGGGCAAAATGTTGGGCGAGTTTCCTTATTCCATACACCTGTGTTTACTCAGCAGTAAGTAGGAACCCGGTTGTTAGTCGACTGTCGGATCACTTTTCTGTGGGTAATAACCCCTTCAAAAATAAATAGATAAATAAATAAATGAATCACATAATAATCCTTGCATTAGATGTAGCACTTTTCACATCTTCTAGGTGTCTCAAAGCCCTTCGCAGAAGAGACCGTAAAGTGAATCGACTGCATATTTGTGTAAATAATAAATAAATGAATAAATATATTCGGTCACTCAATCCGCGGCTGTTTGTGGGACGCTGCTGTGCGCAATTGTCTCGCCCACAAAACGTACAGTCAATTTACTTTCCGCTGTAGTCCTCGAAGCGCTTTGAAAGGTCTCGAAAATGTGATGAAGTGCCATATCGAATGCAAGGATTATTATTATTATTACTATTATTATTAATAAAAAACAAACAGATGGGACTCAGTTCAGGGTTGGATGCCAAAGGCAGGGATACGCTGCGCTTTTGTATTGGTTTCTGACAGGCGTTAGTTTGCTGGTTCCATAGTTAAAATACAACAACTTGCATTTTATATCGTGCCCTTCACACAGGGTCAGCGTCGCAGAGTGAGAGCGAGCGGACGAGCGAGATTACAGGAGCTTCTCATGCGCTGTTCGGTTTGATTAACGAGACAACTACTGCATGCACCCAATCCTCCTGAGACCCAGTCATCCTCTAATGCAATTTCACAGAGAAACGCAGTGGGATAAAAGCAGCAAGCGCCCAGTTAGCAAATACAGATAGATGATAAGTGAGCAGAATAAGTAATTGTATGTTGTGCGTGGAGGAGGAAATAACCATTAGATTCTGTCATTAGCTCTTTCAGTGGGGAGCAGAGGTAATATTTTTATATAAGCTACTGATTGTACTTTAATGCTTGCAATCTGGGCTCATGCTCCTGTGTTGTACTGTGTGCGCGCGCGCGCGTGTGTGTACGTGTCTATGTATATGTGTGTGTGTGTACGCGTGTAGCGCCACATGGTCAGATGAGACCTTAAACCAAAGCCCTACCTTCCTGTTCAGGTGGTTGGTAAACGTCCCGTGCACTATTCGTAAAGAGAAAGGAGTTTCTCCCAAGGTCCTGGCCAACAATCCCCCAAATAAAATTCATTACTTGCTCGTGGCTGTTTGCAAAACTGTTTGCCCAACAAACAGTGTTTGCAAAACACCCACAAAATACACAGTCACTGAACTTTACAGTTAAATGCTGTGAAACTCCTTGAGACGTCTTGCTGACATGAAAGGCGCTGTAACACACGCACGGATTATATTATTGTCATCAATAAATTAATTCATTTAAGTGCCTCGGCATATCCTCCCAACGCGAAAGGCACTACTGTATGAATGTAGGTGGTATTGTATTTTAACTTCTAAATAACTGCTGTGTTTGCTTATATAAAACAGTCACTACACTTAACAACGTGTAAAGTGCTTGAGGTTAACAGCGGAATTTTCTTTCTTTAGCTGTCGAACAACAAGGTCCAAGCCATGGATTCTCACCTCGATCCCCTTATTATTTATGGGGCTGTCGTTGCTATAGATTAACTGCCACATTTGCCCAGAATTTCCCCCAAATGCTTTCGAAGTAATTTCAATGAAGTACCTTGAAATGTTCCAGGGTTAGTGGTACGTAAAAGATTAATGGGTTATTATTAACATAGAGATTTATTTAAATTTAACCTATTAAACACCCACTCTTCCCTGTAATGTCAAGTAGAAGGATGTTCTGGTTTAAAGATAATATATTCATTGTAATAATCCTCCATATAGTACACATAATGCTGAAACATCTCAAAGTACTTTACAGGCAATAACAATAACCTTTGCATTTGAAATACGCCTTATTACACTCTCAAATAGTTTCAAAGCACTTCGCAGGATATGCAGTAAAGTAGATTGACTGTGTATTTTGTGGCAGTGCCCCACAAACAGTCGTGGATTGAGTGACCAAATAATTTTTTTTTTACCCCCGGAATTATTACCCCCAGAAAGGAATCCGCCAATCGACTATAAAAGCCCCGGGATGTTTCCCAGACCGCGCTCTCAATGGCAACACGACGCAGTTTTAGTTCGTTAAACTCCGGCAGTTAACCCCAAGCCTCTGACCAACCCGTGACTCAGGACGTGCCCCTCCAGGGAGAGCGCGTGCATTCCCGACACAGGGAAGCTCCCATGTTTAGACGGCGCACATACATAGGACACTCGAGTCTGGTTTGGATACTCTTAAACATGGCGACGGGTTTCCGCCTGTGTCCAGACCTGTGTCCCCCCCCCCCCCACCCCCAAAAAAAAGGTTGACGTCCCCAGAACAAAGGCAATTTTGAACAGGCAGACAGGTCCTGGGTTTAACATCTCATCCAACGGACAGCATCGGTGGATTACTGTTTCGCCGATGACTTTAATTCCCTGATAGCTTTTTTAATTCGGGTTCATCTTTTTTTTAAAAAATAGATGTTGTTATTTTCGAAGGGGCCAAGCAAGCGTCATCGTAAAAGTTCAACAACAATTTCCCTCCCGCCCACGCCCGCCCAGGCATAATAATAAATATAACAATCGTTGCGTTTGGTGCAGCGCCTGTCACGTCGTCGAGACATCCCAAAGCATAGGAATATAGGAACAGGAGTAGGCCATTCAGCCCCTTGAGCGTGTTCCACCAATCCATTACATCGGCAGAGGAAATAGTTTCTCTGCAGAAACCCTGTCACATCCCTTTATTATTTTAAACACCTCAGTCAGATCACCCCTCGACCTTCTAAGCTCGAGGGAATACAGACCAAGTTTATGAAACTTGTCCTCGTAATTTAACTCTTTAAGCCCCGGCGGTATCATTCTGGTGAATCTGCGCTGCACCCCCTCCAGAGCCAATATATCCTTCCCGAGGTGCAGTGCTCACAACTGAACGCAGGGTTCACAGCGGGGTCTGACCAAGGCTCGAGACAGTTGAACTATCCGACCCTGCACAGAATATACCGTAAAGTGTAGTCACTGTGTATATTGTGGGCGAAACACAAAATCCATTTGCGCACAACAGTGTCCCCCACAAACAGTCGTGGACCGAGTGGCCAAATTTGAATTCGTTTTTCGTCTCCCTTCGTGCTCTCTCCATCCCTCCCGCCCTCTGACTTTCCGATAGTGAAATGAGCCCGATTCGTTTAAGAGAGTGCGGTTCTCATTTTGACCAGCTTTTATGTTCATTTAATTTCAGCTCTGGCCAGTGTAACAGATAATCCCTCTCGTTAAACGAGCGCGAGCCCAGAAAATGGTAGAGATTTGAAAGCTCCAATGCATTTAGCATCGCGAATAGGTATAAAACAGAAAAGGTCCGATCACAAGAGTAAATAATAATAATCCTTGCATTTGATGTAACACCTTATCATGTCGTTGAGATGTCTCAAAGTGCGTCACAAGGATATACTGTAAAATGGATCGTAAAAGGATTTTGTGAGAGAAACACAACAGCCAGTTGCACACAGGAATGTCCCACAAACAGCCACGGATTTTATTTGGGGGGATTGTCGCTGAGAAAAACTCCCTTCTCTTTTTAAATAGTGTCACAGGATCTTTAAATTCCACCTGAACAGGCAGATGGGATCTCGGTTTTAAGGTCTCATTCGAAGGACAGCACCTCGGACGAGAGGCAACACACTCACAGCAGTGCATTGGAGCGTCAGCTTAGACTGTGTGATTCCGAGCCCCGACTTGGGGCTTGAACCCACAACCTTCTGACCCAGAGGCAGGATTGCCGTGACCGCGTCTGTCAGGCACCATAAGTTGCCAACCCGTCTGAGGTGGGGTTTGGAAGAAAGAGATGGGGAGGGAATTAAGGTGAAACACATTGATTCACAGGCCAACAATTCTCCAGATAAAATTGATCGTTCATTTTGTGGCTGTTTGTGGGACTTTGCTGCGCACACATTGACTGTTGTGTTTGCCTACAAAATGCACAGTAAACATGTAACAGTAAGTCCTGTAAAACATTTTGAGATTTTTTGTACAGCAAACATTATTGTTTGACATTATTATGTGCCTTTAGTGACTGGTTTATTTTCTGAAACTGAATTAACTTCGTGGCTGTATTATTTACCGTGAGATATAACGGGGCTGCACTTCAATGTCAACAGTCAACCTCAAATGCCACTGAACAGCTCTCTATCTCTGTCTGGGTAGGATCCGGGGAGAGTGAACAAGGATCGAGGAAGGAAGGGAAAATGATGGAGGGAGTGTGAAAGGGAAGTTTGGGAGAGGAGAGAAAACCGGGAGAACAATTGGATTAAACAGCAATATGTAAAATCCAACCGGATTGTTTCATTTCAATTTTCATTTAAGAAAATGTTTCTTTCTATTTCATAAAATTGTCTTTTTTGTCTGGGTTCGATTCATTCATTTATTCATTTATTTATCTTGCATTGAGATAAGTAAATGGATAAACATTCAAATAGATAATCCTCACATTTGATACAGCATTTTATCACGTCGTCAATGTCTCAAAGCATTTCACACAGGATTCACTGTAAATAATAGTATTAATAATTATCCTTGCATTTGGTATAGCGCCTTATAATGTCTTCGAGACGTCTCAAAGCGCTTCACATAATACACCGCAAAGTGAATCGACTGTGTCAGTGTAGTAACTTGTATTTCGAATTGAACGACCGAGAGAATGCTTTTCAATCCATTTTTTTTAAATTAAAATAAAACACATGAAAACTTACTTAAACTCGGGACTCAGGTCCGGTTTCAGGCCATAAAAGGACGAAGACATGGTGACCATCCAACCGGGGAAGAACTTATAGTTCTCGCACTCCATGAAGGGCATGGACCACTTAATGTGCTTCTCATCCATCAGGTAGCTGTCCCCTTGGTTCCACTTGGGAGTGTCCAGGGTTTTGAGGTCGTTGTTGAGGATTCTCTTGTTCAGATAAGGCGTCCTTTGGTACTTTAACCCATTGAACCACTCGCTCTCCGAGGTCTGGTTCTCAAGGTAGTCCGAGGTGGAGGAGAGGTCCTGCAGGAAGATCTCATTCTGGTACCTGGTGGCCTGAAGGACCAACTGAGGCTTGGAAGAAATGGGCGGAGAATCAAAAGTTAACATTGTCCTGTAGATCTGGGGATCTCCTTCGATGATGCTCCTCACTAAGGCGTGGTACCACTCTATGTCGTCCTTCACACTGGACTCCCGAATATCATCGGTCTGAAATATCAAATTGAGGAAGTTGGTGGCATGGATGAGGGTGTGCTTGGCTCCGTGGAGGTAAGGATGAAGCACGTCGGCGGTCTTGACCCTCATGCCTCTGATCTCGACCCGCCTGGTGCAGTTGACCTGGGTCAGTTTGGAAGGATCTCCAGTGTAGAGGAACGCCGAGGCAGCCTCCGACGTCTCCTGGTCAGGTTTCTCCAGGTTGCCTTCCGTCGAGGTGACCAGGAGCGATATCCCCGACCCTTTGGTCTCCCTGACCAGCACAGGGTTGGCTCCCACCCGATGCTTCTCAAAGCCCCAGAAGCCACACATCACCCCAGCTTGGACATACAGAATGACAGGCAACACAGTCAGAGCCATCTCTCTGTGTGTGTGTGTGTGTGTGTCTGAGAGAGAGACACACACAGACAGAGAGAGAGAGAGAGATGTCTTCTTGATGGTGATCAGATCAGATCAATTGACCAACTCACCAACTGTAGGGCACAGACAACACAACGAGAAGAAGAACACAAAACAAAAACCCACCCAAACCACCACCTTCAACCCACCGTCTTGTCAGAGAACATCCATCACGGTGACGCCCAAAAGTTGCCTTGACTGCATGTGAGTCTGTTTGAGCATCATTGACACATCCAGCTCATAGCCCATGGCTTAGCAGGCAAGGAGGCAGGGCAAGGCAGGGCAGGGCAAGGCAGGGCAGGGCAGGGCAGGGCAGGGCAGGGCAAGGCAAGGCAAGGCAGGGCAAGGCAAGGCAAGGCAGGGCAGGGCAAGGCAAGGCAAGGCAAGGCAGGGCAAGGCAAGGCAAGGCAAGGCAAGGGAAGGGAAGGGAAGGGAAGGGAAGGCAGGGCAGGGCAGGGCAGGGCAGGGCAAGGCAAGGCAGGGCAGGGCAAGGCAGGGCAGGGCAGGGCAGGGCAGGGCAGGGCAAGGCAAGGCAAGGCAGGGCAAGGCAAGGCAGGGCAAGGCAAGGCAAGGCAAAGCAGGGCAAGCAGGCAGCGAGGGCTTTAAACCCTTATCCTTCAGTTGTCATTGATAGATTCCTGTTGCCAATGTAACATCGCAGCGAATGGTCCTCACACAGCATCTCCTGTGCTGGTCAGTGCTCCCTCCTCCTCTCCTCCTCTCCTCTCCTCTCCTCTCTCTCTCTCACACACACACACATATATGCATTGATTTTTTTTTGTGTGTGTGTGTGTGTGTGGGAATAAACTACTGTGTCCTTTTACATCTCCTGTCTCTGCTCTGCTCTCATCTCTCCTCATCTCAGGAGCAATGAGATGGGATGGAGTGGGGGTGGAGGGGAGGAGGGGGGTGGGGGGGGATACAGATGGTACCAGAGGGATGCAACCACTTCAATCACACTCCACTGTGTGTTGTTATTTTTTTCCTCTCTCTCTCTCTGTCTCGTTTTCTGGCTATTTTTACCTTTTTTTAATCAGACTATTTATGAGGATTGCAGTGAATTTTAGACAGTAACGAATGGAAATATTTCTGTGAACACAACACATCGCATTTAAACTCCAAACGTGTTTTATGCATCAATGTAAAATATTTCTATCAGCATAATATAAACATATAAAAATATAAACATCTCCCCCCCACCCCCCACCCCACCTCCCATCCCCTTTGCAGAAAATTCATGGAAAAAGAGCATTGTCAGAGAGAGAGAGAGAGAGAGAAAAGGTCTTTTTTAAATATATAAAATAAATTGAAAAATACATATTTATTAGGAATTTTGTTTTTAAAAAAATAAAAAAAAATGCAAAGGAAATAGTTTGTTTTCCACATCATTTTCGACAGTGACATTTTGTGGTGAAATGTGGGAACCAATTGCTATGGCAACGCAGAGAAAAAGAGAGAGAGAGAGAGATGGTGCAAGATTTTACATCTCCAGGTGGGGAGGTGTAGTGGGTGGGGGTTCTGGGGTGGGGTGGGGGGGTGGGGGGGGGGGGGTTCTGGGGGGGGGGGGAGGGGTGGGGGGGTTCAGTTCCTTTCTATCCCTTTCCCACTCTCTTCCCCCATTTTTTGAGTAACCTGAAAAACAGCCCCAAATACTTGTTAGGACTTGGAGATTCCCTGTATCCCAACAGTCTGTGTCCATTCTGTCCCTCTCTCCCCATCCCACCCTCCTCCTCTCTCCCCTTCCTCACCCCAATCCTCCCCTCTCCCCTTCCTCACCCCAATCCTTCCCTCTCCCCTTCCTCACCCCAATCCTCCTCTCTCCCTTCCTCACCCCAATCCTCCCCTCTCCCTTCCTCACCCCAATCCTCCCCTCTCCCCTTCCTCACCCCAATCCTCCTCTCTCCCCTTCCTCACCCCAATCCTCCTCTCTCCCCTTCCTCACCCCAATCCTCCCCTCTCCCCTTCCTCACCCCAATCCTCCCCTCTCCCCTTCCTCACCCCAATCCTCCCCTCTCCCCTTCCTCACCCCAATCCTCCCTCTCCCCTTCCTCACCCCAATCCTCCCCTCTCCCCTTCCTCACCCTAATCCTCCCCTCTCCCCTTCCTCACCCCAATCCTCCTCTCTCCCCTTCTTCACCCCAATCCTCTTCTCTCCCCTTCCTCACCCCAATCCTCCCCTCTCCCCTTCTTCACCCCAATCCTCCCCTCTCCCCTTCCTCACCCCAATCCTCCTCTCTCCCCTTCCTCACCCCAATCCTCCTCTCTCCCCTTCTTCACCCCAATCCTCCCCCCCCCTTCTCTCTCCCTTTTTCTCTCTCTGGACCTTTTCTTTCCTCTCTTTAGACATCAGGAGAGTAGTTCTTTGCTCTGTGTATAAATGCTAAAGCTGCATCAGACCAGTTAAGGTAATTGTATTGCAGTAGATTTATGGCACACATTGCAGAAGGGATCTGGGTGGTGAGATCTCTCTTTTCTCTCTTTCTCTCCATCTCTTTCTCTCTCCATCTTTCTCTCATCTCTCCATCTTTCTCTCATCTCTCCATCTCTTTTTCTTTTTCCATCTCTCTCTCTCTCCCTCCATTATTTCTTTATCTCTTTCTATCCATCTCTCTCTCTCTCTCTTATTCCCATTTCTCTTTCTCCATCTCATGCCCTGTGTGTGTGTGTGTGTGTGTCTATTGCTTTTTGTGGCTTTCCTATTTAGGTACGTGATGGGTTGGTGACAGTCAGCAAATTATTTATCTTTTTGCTCAATTAGAAGGGTGCAAACTGGGGTGGGGTGTGGGTGGGAGAGAGAGAGAGAGAGACAGCACCAGCGCCTACAGTTACTGACAAATAAGGTTAAAAATAGCAGATGATGTTAAAAGCCTCACTGACTTATGTGTGTGTGTGTTTGTAGATGTAGTGAGTGGGGATTTTTAACTCTTTATCAGTATTCCTTAACCCCAGCAAAGGGCAGTCGGATAGTTAGAGTCAGGCTATACAGTCCTGGAGATTGAGGAGAGACTTCAGGAGGACAGGACCCTCATACTCTGTGGTGATATCTGCTGCCACTTTCCCCAGCCCAAGAGATTCCCCTCCTGTTCCCCCCCCCCCCCCCCACCGCCCTCGCTCAGCAATTTTTGTAAATTCGTTTCGCCCACAAAATGCACAGTCGCTCCACATTACAGTACAGCGAAGCGCTTCGGGACGTCTCGATGAGGCCGTATGGCCCTATATCAAATGCAAGGATTATTATTACTATTGTTATTGATGGTGCTTTTCGCTGAAGTATCCGAATCAATTCAGATTGCCTGACCCGAAATCTGTTACAGTCACCAGGCGCCAATCAAAGGAGACTTCAGGTGTGAAGCCCAGACAGGTGCGAGTGCATACACCGAGGAATAATAATAACATCTTCGAGACGTCTTGAAGCGCTTCACAGAATGTGCTGTAAATTGAATTGACTGTACATTTGGAGGGCGAAACGCGGCAGCCAATTGCGCACAGCAGCGTCCCACAGACAGTCGGGGATTATTTTTTGAAGGGATTATTACACCCGGAAAAGTAATCCGCCAATTGACTAACAGCTGAGTTGCTGTGTGTGGAGTAAGGAAACTTACCCAATGTTTCACCCCGTACCTGGAATCAAACCCAAGTCCTTTCCCTTGCCAAGGCGAGCGCTCCAACCAATAAACTACGGGACTCCACTATATTCTAAACCTGACGCGGCAGAGAGGGAAAATGTTAATGCACTTTACGGAAGTTACTGTCGCATGTAGTGACCGTTCCTTGTGGGCAAATGTGCCGCCAGTTTATGTGGAGCAACGTCCCATAAACAGCCCTGAGGTAAGTGATCAACTTAAATTTGGGCCACTGTCAGCGAGGACAGGATTTACTGCAATGTGTAGTGACTGTGTATTTTGTGGGCGAACACGGCAGCGCCCCACAAACAGTGATCCACACCCATCTGAGCAGGCAGGTGGTGGCGTGAGTGATGGGGGAAAGACACGATAAGTGCTTCTGGGGCTGCCTACGAAACGCACAGTCACTACACTTTCCAGAAACTCCCCGAAGAGCTTTGAGATGCTCTTGATGTGAAGTGGAGCTGCGTCAATTGCAAGGGTTATTTTCCTTTAGGTCAGCCGGGTCTCCGACATACCCGGCAACCCACCACTTGTGCTTGAGAGTCTCCGGAACAAACTGAGAGTTCCATTGCACGTCACCTACACATGGAGCCTTTCCTGCGTCAGGGAAGGAATGTGCATGACCGAGCGCACATTCCCTGCCCGACAAAGGGAACATTTCTGGACACCTAATTCCGGAGAGCTTTAGGCGTGGTTTGGCGAGATCCAAAGCTTGGGGAGGATATCCTCGTTCGTGTGCTGGATGCGCAACTGCTGGAGTTTAACCAGCTCGAAAGCTTGCCAACTGAGGGCACTGTGCTGAACATAAGCAAAATAAAGAGGATTATTAATATCATGAGTTTATTGTTATTTTACAGGATTTTGAGAGGCTCCAGGGCAAAAGGAGAGGGAGTTGCTCTGAGGGACTCTGACTGGTGTCTCCTCTGTGTAGATTGTAGTCGAGACTGGCCCTTTGCGATCGTGGTGGAGCGGTTGGCAGTGGACTTGGCGACTGATGAGGACATTTCACAAGTAAAAACCCAAATCAAATACCATTCTTTTATTGTATCATTAATGTGGTCAGTTAGTTACACTGCGAATCTGATTGCTTTTTCTTTGCTCAAATAAAATTACTCGGCGGCCACCATCCTGCTTCACGCTCCCCTCCCCCCCACTCTCCCCCCACCGCTATCCACCCAGCCACTTGTGGTCAGGCTTCCAGCCTATCTGTCCCCGCTGTCTGGAAGTCCATCCCGGAGTCCCTTCTCCTCATCCCTTCCTATCACCTCCTTCAAGGACCGGCTTAAGATCTTCTCTTTGACCGCGCCTTCGGTCATCTTCCCACTCACCCCCCCA